TGTACTTATATTCATTTAATTATGTTTTCAATGATATCACGGTAATGTGATGTCATCAATAATTATCAGTATCGATAACAAATAGGGAAACGAAAAATTTAAATTAATTAAAATAAAACGAAAAAAAACTACTAAAATTAGTATACCACGTAAGTATGTAAAACAAAGCAAAAATAACTCAAATTAAAATTCCCATACAAAATACACAATGAAAATCGCGATACAGGTTCATTTAAAATAAATAGATTATTACTGATTGAAAAACAGGAAATAATAGGTAGGTATACCTATAGTGTGACGATGCAAAATTATCCAAAGCACACAGATAGTTAATCTACAGTGTTGCCAATTCTAAGAAATATCACAACTATAATTATGTTATCGGATGAGAATGAAATCATTATGAAATATAGATAAACGATGGAGAAAGTCGCTTAAGTAATTTACCTGTAAGAGGAATTATGATGAACTGTGTAATGTACAATAATTAATACAAATTGAACAAGATACCTGACTAACAGAGGTAATTAATATTGAATTCTTCTACCTATAGAGTTTAATACACAATTTTAATGTATAAGTATATTAATTAATAATATTACGTGCTTCATACATGTATTAAAAGTTTACAAAGAAATATTTAAATGACATTTTTTTTGTAACGAGACATACTCGTATAGTCACCAAAGCAATATTCATAACAGTGACGTCACAGCCTAAAATTCCTCTGGAGAAAAGTTGGTCATTACGCATGCGCGGGATGCGTCCGCAACTACTTTCGCGCTCTCAGACCTTCCGGGCTCGATTACAAATCATATTATTAGAGATTTCATTTATAACTTTAATATAATTTAAGAACATATTTATTACAAATACATATATTAAAGACACTCACCAATTCCATATTTTATTGATAAATGTCAAAAACTCAAAACAATAAATGTCATATTTGAGAACCCCAAGATGGCGGTCCAATTTTTATATTCGTTTAGTCAAAACGCTTACCTTCAATTGTCATTGTGTTTTTTTTTATTCAAACATCAAGACGCGAAGCATACATTAATGTTGATATCACATATTTAAAGTTTAATTGCAATGATTGCGATGTAAATCGAATGGTTTTATAAAATTTAATTTGCATACAAATTATTTGTTCAGACGAATAATAATTAGGCGTTACACTGAGGACGGAGATCTTTACGTCACTAAGGTACGGATTTAGATTCAAATATCTATAATAGTATGACTGACGATTGATTTTTAATATTTAATAGCGATAATATTATATTTTTTAATATTTTTTTTCTAGAAATGACTTTATGGATTATCTACCAATCACATCGCTCCATTTTCAGCAAGACGAAGGTAACAAAAGAAATAGCTTAAAACCTCTTTCCTTTCTCCGAAATTTAGTACATCACGTTATAGTATTATTTTAAACGAAAAAAACGTAAAATGTATACATAATAAATCTTAAAATATTTCTCTATAATATGAGTTCACAAATCAAGGTTAAACAATCAAATAAAATTAAATTGGGCTGCAAGATGTTAACTGTTAAATATTTTTACTAAAATATAACGTAATAATAATAGCGTTACAGATATTGTGAAACAAAATGACTTTATTGTTATACGAAAAATATAATAAAACTGGATGAGACATTTAAGATATATTATCTGTGGCAGTCTAGTCTAGATAATAAAAAGATTAGGTATATTTAATTTTTTAAAAATCGCTAAGAAAAATTATAAGATTAGATAATTATTGATAATCGTCAAATTTTTTACTAGAAATAACTTTACCTTTGTAAAAAATATTCCTTGATAATTTATAATCAAGCAGTATGTCCAGACACAAATACATATACGTGAATATATACATATATTAATACGCAAAATAATATACTTAACATTGAATTTAGAATTAAGCAAATATAAATAATAGGTTACATTTACAACAATGTCTTATCAACTGACGCGCCTAACATCTAAGTATTCTTGTTCTGCGTAGAACGAGGTGAAGCATTATATTTCATCTCAAATCATTTTACGAAATATATTATGAATGTCAAATTGCACACCGACCTCATTATTACGCAATACAAACTAATTATAACGCGTTTCAAAACATAATATAATTATTTAATTACCATGAACGCCCTGTCAAACGTATAGCAATAAAAACGAAGATTTTTTTGTAAACAGCCAGAATGGTCCAAAGAGGTTGCATGTTACAAAAAAAAAATACCAGCGAATATATTATAGTAAGCGTCTGATATGCTCTAATTATGCCCAAGACTTTGCCTGTATTATTTGTTTGAGGTTAATGTCGTTTTTATACAAATAAAACACACAATGTGAAACATCTTGTGTAAACAAGTGGTTGACAGAAGAAATGTTTTTCTGGCCTCTTTGACATTTAATGAACTACGGCTGATCTGTAGAGACGAGATCTTAAAAAAATTAAAAGTACGTAAATATAAAAATATTATAAACTGTTTATTTTGTTCCAAAAATTATTATTTTTTATATAAGTTGCTATTTAAATCGAATACACAAAATAAATTTTAAAAATTGGCCACTTAAAAGTATTTGTAAAAAAAATAAAAAGAAAAAAATTTAAATTTCGAACTGCGTATCAAAGAAAGAACATTATGGACATGGTCCTAGTAACCAAAAATGTATGAGTTAATAGATTTGTTTGTATGCACAGGGAGATAAAGTCGGACATCTAAATAGAGTTTTAACACGTAAGATACGTTATTCTCATCATGTGCGATGCAGTATAAGGTCAATGGCCCGTCTAACAATATTGACATGGACAAGAAGAGCCGATATCGCCGCATACAAATATTGTATCCAAATAAGATAGATACGATCATAACACATAAGAATATTTTATTATTTTTCTTAGAAATCTAAAATATAACACCAAGCTATCGGGTTAAGAGATTTCAAGCTTAAATTGTCATTAACACATACGTACAAGGAAGGACAATGAAATAACGATTTTATTCTCAAACGAAAGTGAATGAAAGTTTGACCATACATCATTTTCATCACGCGAACATAGCGGAAGCTAGATATCTCGTGTATTTTTTTCAGCTGCATACCGTCCAGTGTCAGTTACCGGCGTCATTGAGAAAAAAACATCAGCGTCATGCATTAATATACACGGACGACATGCGAGAAAACTATTTTTGTTATTACGACATGTTCTTATGTATATGTTTTGGTAAGTTAATATCAAATATTATTACTATGTTCTATAATCTAGCTCGGTTATCTCCAATCGAGTTATATTTTGTAAACTAAACATCTACTTACATCCCGTCCTCGTATTTTTTCCGTTGGTCGGCCATGTTTGTAAATGTAGCTGCCGGTTTGTGAATGAATTTCGCACGGTTTCCGCGATTTGGCACGAGAACGTGATTAGATATACATCATTGATTAATATATTGTTCTCTTAGTCTTCGATTTTATAAAAAAAAAACACAGGTAATTTATTTATTTACGTACATAGTGTTCTTTGGTAACGTACAAAATAGATTTTTATCAACTATCCCTAATTGTCGTTTGTGCATTATACGGTACCCTTTTAATAAATACTTAGTATAAAAATAGTGTCAAAAAATGTATTCATGTTTTAGAACTAACCAATTAATTTCTTATTAGTTCAATCGTTCAATGATTAAGAAATTATTTCATTGATTTTATACTTTTTTTTTTGTAAATATATTTACCGCTCTGGATACGAGTCTATTTGAGCTTTATCGTTACAAGATTTATATACTAATGCAATAAGATTGCCATATGCGAATAATATTCATTTTGACTGGGTAATATTCGTAAATAAATCGATGTCATACAAATATCCCAATAATTACCGGCGCGACCCCAATAGATATTGAAGAGCAGAGATAATATCTCTTCCTAGGAACGTGTACACATTAGTTATTTACTCAACAGCATATCAGATAATAATTATAGTTTTCAATACACCTTTACGATATCTTTGGGACCGTTAAGTAACATGATAAACCCTCGCTCTGTAAAGATAAAACATATTTAACGTTTATTTTAGATTGTCTTTGGTTTTTTTGGAAAAGGATATAAAGATTCGATTATTTAGATTAATGTCAGGGCGAGTGATAATTTTAAATTAAATTTTATCATTAACTCCTTGAAAACTCCTTATGTTTTCATATTAATTTGTTTCATACTATTTGACTGCAGCTTTGCTTGCAGTTTTATATACTGTGGATTAATACGTATAATACTTAGTCAATGGCTTATTTGATTATAAACTACACAATTGTTTTTAACTCGGAAGTTTAACATTCATTGACAAGATTAGTATAGGATTTGGATTATTCTAAGCATTAAGTAAATTATGTATAAGATTATGGTTGATAGTTAAATTATTCTTTTTAGTTAAATCTATCGGAATTTTTGGTCACCAACGATTTTATTTCGACCACGTGTTGACAGATCAAAGGGCGTCATATTTGCTCAACACCGTTTGACCGATTACGAAAGGTCAAGTGTGAGATGGACAAGAGAAAAAAATCTCCCCTACAGATACGTTTATAAGTAACAAAAAAACATCACATAATAGACAATTTACATTAAGTTAATGATAATATTATTATTACCATTAACAGATGAATAGGCTCAGTCCCAAAAAAAAATCCGATATAATTAATAGTAATGGGTTTGTAATAAGTAGTTTGCATCATCTTATTGGAAAGCTACTTTAACCTCATTAGCAGTAAGCAGAACGATCACAAACGTTCGCCCGGTTAACTCAATAATTAATTACGTCTACACATTATGTAACTATAATGCACATTTAACTATTCAAACGAAACAAATTAATATTATAATATTTCGAATCTATCGATGACGTCTATAATATGATAGCGCCATAACTAATATCTTAATAAAACGATAATAACGTTACAATAATACAGAACTAATAATTATGGCATCTCCATATTAATATAACGCACTCTCAATGATACACCTAAACTCGCCCGCCGGACAATCTGTATCAGGCGACGTAACGACAGATGATATCCGTCTCGGTCGCTCTCGTGTCGTGATGTATGCTCCGTCTCGCTCTCGCCGCGCGTCGCTCGACGCTCGCCGCTGTCGACCAATCGGCGGCCATCTTCTGCTCCCCCGAGAGCAAGCGACAGTGCGTGCTCTCATCACGATCACAAGGAGACGACATCTCGCCGCGCGAGGTTGTCGTCGGCGCGGAAGATGAGACGCATCCAACACGGCTGAACTAGTGACTTTAACATAACAATATATCGTGCTGGACGAACTGTTCGATCTGTGTCCGATTTGAGAAAAAAAAACAGTTAAGTGAGAGACTCGAAGATTTGTTGGTTGGACTTGGTTGAAATTATTCCTGATATCTGAATATTATCCACTATTGGGTAAGTACCGATTAGATTACAATGCAAATTATCACAGCCATTGCCCTGTTACAGCTTTCCTTGTTTTAAATCGTGTAGGCTCAGTGGTAGACGCGTCAGAGGAATGCTTTGTCGCGTATGATCTTGAGACCAACTTTTAAGTGTTCGATCAAAATTAAAATGCCTCCGATGTATAACACCGGTATTTATTTTCTTTTTTTATATGTATCAGTCATTTTTGTTAATAAATAATAGTGTTTTAATATATCGTTTTACGTAAGTAATAAAATGAATTAGTATTTTAACGTTTTGATGGTCGGTAAATTTTATTTGTATTATTTGTAACGTTTGCGGAAATTTAAGTTTATGTATTTTATAATAAAATAAATTTCTTCCGACGGAGCTTTCTTTTCCTTTTGTGTGATTTTTTAAAAATAATCGTTAATCGTTATCTTTGTAATGAGTTTAATAGAATAGATCAATTAAGAATTCATCCTTTGTAAGTATACAAAGATATTCCATGTATTTCTTATTAAGTCAAAAAAATGGCGTAGATAGCATTTATTTAATAATAAATATGTTAAAGCATTTAAATGTTTAACGGATTTAGTTTAAATCCAAACTCCTATTAGATTCTTGTTGGTTTATAATAAACACTGAAATTTTAACATAATATGTACATGATACATTCCCGTTGTATTAAATTAAACCTATTAACGTCTTCATGAAACAGTTAATAATTTTTTTTTCATTAAAATACCGCGTTTCTGTGTTTCTATAATTTAAAAATAAATATTTTCATCTGTATTCTACTACATACCGCAAACTATATTTTTTAAATCTGTAATTTCAGAATTTTTAAATATTATCTACTATTCTTCAATCGAGACAGCCATGTTTAATGTCTAAATTCTTAATCGTTTATCAATAACTTTCTAATGTATCCTTAGATAATAGTTATTTCTTATTAAAAATGACAGTTTCAAGTGAAATTACGATTAATAATATGAAAACAAGTGTTAATCACGCTGATGGTAACCCATCCGCGTTGCGTCATAAGTCACCGTAGCTTAACACGATCGATTATAATAACACTAATATTAACCACACATTTATATGAATATTCAAATACATTTAACATAACTGCAGAATGATAACCAAGGGTCACGCATTTACTATAACTCGATATTTTTAACGATTTCGTTATTTCTTGTCACGATGCTCCAATATCGTAATTATTATTATAAGAAAATTAAATCAATATAAACTTTTATATACTTATTTATGTATATTATAAGTTTTTCATCTTCATCAAAGTCAGTGGTAGCCTAGTGGTTAAAAGGCCCGCCTCTCATGCACGATTGCGCGAGTTCGATCCTGGCAAGTACCAATGTGATTTTTCCAAGTCATATGTACTTTCTAAGAGTATTTAGACATCACTGATTAATGCATTCCCAAAGAGGGTTGATGTCAGGCAGGCGGCCGGTCGTAAAAACAATTAGCCAAAACTATTCACAATATGTAAGGCAGACCCTGGCTAAATCTGGGAAATTGTCAGGTAGAAGAAGACTTGAGAGTATCAATGCTTTTATATATGCATTTTTCCTATAAGAATAATATTTTTTTTAATGTTTTTCTTACTTCCCAAGTAACTCAGATATCAGTTGTCACTCGCTACACATCAAAGTCGCCGACGCTTTTGTCATTTAGCGAAACTAAAGTAACGCGATTCTTTCTAACTAATTTTAATTAAAATCTTAAGTGTTGGATATCTTATAAAATATATGGTAGATATTTTAATACGTTGCTATTTTTTAAATTTATATATAAATAATATGGAAGGGATATCTTCTTGTAAATTGTTAAAGAATTTTTTGTTATATCAATTGGAATAATATGTAAAACATGACAGACGAAGTCGCGGTTATTAACTAGTTAACCAATATATTTATTAATTAATTGTGACCGCAGTATACCTATGTATAAAAGTTTTTCCATCTTCGATTCTTCATCTTATGGATTCTTAATTCAGTATAATAATTTAAAGTTTTTTTGTCATATTCCTATAATTTCATTTAAATTTACATGCTAAAACTAAGAAAAAATCGAAAAAATTCTCCTGTTTATCTATAATAAAAAAGTTTTTCGTGTACAATTAGTCTAATTTTGAATTATTTTTTGAATTAAAGCGTTTTTTAAATGACATTTATATTTGAATAATTCTAACAGAAAAAATAATATTAAAATCTAGTTGGTTGTGATGTCAATACCCTTTTTACGTGTTTTTGTTTACGATTATTAATAAAATAGTTTCTTTACTATAAAACTATTATTATAGATTCTATTAAGACCATCTCGAATACTAAAAACATTTAGATAATGTGTTTTTCATCATCATTTGTTAAGTTTAGGTAAATTTTAATTTTATTTTATATGTATATTGAACTGTCCTTTTTTTTATATTCGTAACAAAATTCGCTGTCAATCACCAAAGAAACTAAATTAAATAAAATGCCTATTAAAAAACAAAACAATTACATTGAAAACATAAGTATATGTATTAAATTAATATAAAATATATATTTATATATACAAATGTTTAATGATTTAAATCTACTTTATATAAAACAGCAAAAAGTCCTATATTAAGTCAGTCAACTATCTTTTTAAATAAAACTAATATTTTTCGGATTACTATACCTACATACGTTATTTCATTATTTTAAACTACATACTCCCGAAGGTTTTGTTACTTTGCAGCAACCGTCATCACGGGCAGAGATGTGAACCAAAACTTAGGTAGTATGTAGTTTTAAAAATTATAGAATAACATACAGTAATCCGAAGATAGGTATTAGTAGAATATTCATTTAAATGAAAACTCTACTAATATTTCTAATATTCATTTAAATCAACATGAACTTATTAAATTATTATATTCCGATAAAGTATATAAATAGATGACAGACAGATAGACATAATTATCATCTCCCGTAAATGAGATATTTTAACTTTTATTAATGTATTTAAAAATATGTTAAACCGCTGTCGCCTGTCGGGATGTCTATAAATTAGTATAAACAAATAAAAGTAAATACATGAATAAAAAAGATCAAATTTAATTTACTAACACTTTTATAGAACTGTTTGTCTGTTTTCAGTGATTTTTACACACGTAAAAAACCTCTTAATAAATTAAACAATTCAGCCGAGGTCGCGTGTATGAACTAGTTAATATTTCTAAATATATAACCAATATGATGTCAGTAGCATATTAAAATTAAGTAATGTTACATTTTAATTTAAATCTGCATCTCTCATCACTTCAATGCAGTATTAAATTAATTTACTTTTGAATAATCTTCATTAGTATTAATAATAAAGCTTTTGTAACAAAACAAATATTGTATATTGTTTTTGTCGTAAACTAATTAAATATTTTTTTTCATCTCAGACGTGGGCCGTAGCGGGCAATGCAGGGAGCCGCCACTGCGCCCGCGCCTCCAGCGGCTGAACCACCGGCTACACAACGTGAGTTATACACACACACACACACACACACACACACACACAGAGACAGACACGTAAATACACGGACACACACACATACATATATTTCAATTTGTCAATTTAAGACGACAAAAAATCGATTTTCTTATTATTATGTACTCTAATCTTTATAAGAAAGTCGTGTTAGTTACTCTATACTTCAAGACACCTGTATGGGTTTTGGCTGAAACTTCGTGGAGAGATAGCTTAGAACAAGGGAAATGACATAGGATACTTTATTATAGAATTCAAAATCTTCTTCTACTGTCTTTAAGGGGGAATACAGTTCGCCCGGTCAGCTATACATCTAATTCTGAATCTATAAAGAACATTAACATCTCGTGATAATAAAGTACCAATCTCATTAATTTTTATCGCTAGACATTTTAATGTACATTAAAATCTGTAGACAATGCTTCATAAGAATCATCTAACAGGATGCGGACACGATCTCTGTAATGACGGGTCGTATGACGCGTGCTGTCGCCGGCGCGGTAACTCGACGACTGACCATTATATACGCGTGCTGTAACGAGACACCCGAACTACCCGCATTGTAAAAACTTTATAAACATATACAAACTTTTTATATTAAACTAGTTTTTGCCCGTGACTTCGTCCGCGTTAGTTTTGTCATTACTTATATATGTATAGCTGACCGGGCGAACTCTATTCCATTTTACAGGCCATTAATAATCAGGTTTTTCCTGTTTCAATCGAACAGAATGATTGACATATTAGTTAGTTGTCAAATCTAATGTAAAAAAAAACGTTTGTATGGGAAATAGAGAAGGGCTGTTTTTAGGGTTTTTTCGGCAATCATTCCAATTTTCCTCACCTTTTAAACCTTCCCTGGACTTCCAGGAGTATTTCAAGACTAAAATTAGCCAAATCGGTTCAGCCGTTCTCGAGTTTTAGCGAGACTAAGGAACAGCAATCCATTTTTATATATATAAAAGATTATTAATATTTAATTTTATAACTACATATATACTCATGATTTTTGATTACTTTGAAATTAAATGTTTATTTAAACGAATACTCGCGAAAGTATTAGGTCTCATTAAAGTGTACAGTATTAATTTTCAACTATTTTATCCGTCTAAGTTATTCCTTTAATCACTACACAAAACTAGATGTATTTTTGAATACTTTAAAATTTTTCAGCTATTATAATATGAAAAAAATTCTTTCTAACGTAATAAAGCTTTATATACGTCATTAAAATTATTATATGTAGTGAACCTTGGTAATTATTTGAATATCTTTGTACATAACTTATTTAATGTGCCGTCGACCAATAAAAAGGTACATAATAATATATACTTTATTATATATATATAACATTAACGTTACATGTTTTTCTTCATTCTTATCATTGGATGTACTTAAAAATTATAATGATAATAAAATCTTATCTTCTACACAAGTTTACTAATTAATAATTATATTTTTCTTGGTAAATGTACCTATTGGTTTTTCTGTTTATAAGCTTCAATGTAGATTAGAAAGAAATTAAAATAATTACTTCAGATTTTTCATATAAAATTTCAATCAAATCATTTAAGATTTATCCCGATAGAATAACACATACAATGGTTAACATTAAATATGATATGATACGATATGATTATGATATGATACATCTCTATCATACGATATTCATCATCGATATTTAAGTATATCAATAGGGAAGTATGTACAATAAGTGTACACTTACACGCAAGTATGACAAGGTTGCTATACCTACTCACCACTGATACTACAAACATATAACCTTAGTACTAGCTTCCGTTTACTTCAAACGTACTGTTTCAACGTATTAACAACAAAACTCTAAGTTATTAATATGACTAACATACATTAAATTTAACTTGTACTAAAGAACAAGATGACGTTTTTGTGCCAACCCTTAATGACGTCATATTTGGCACATCTAAGTGGAAATACGATGTTTGCTTTAAAATATTTCATTTAACGTTATTAAATATACTTATATAGGAATGAATGAAATGAATGTACTTAATTCTCATCATTAAATTCTAAGACAATAGTTAGTTTGCGCAGATGACCAGCCAGCAGCTGTGCCCACAAGATCTCTGTGTAAACAAGTCGAGATATATCGACATATTTTAGTGATGTACCTCACCTATAGTGACGCGCCGTGTAACTGTGAATCGATAAAAATATCCGGTCCATTTACATATACGGACAATTGGACCGTACTTATTGTGGGCTCATATTATCTAACAGATAAGATAAAAAATATTCTGAATCATACGGTTAAGGCTCAGTTTATTTAAATAAGATTTTAATTCTATTAATATCGTTAAATATATTTAAAAAATATATTAATAATTTTTATTGAATTTTATTTATATTGAAACATTTATTAAATGCTCCTTAAGTTACAAGATGAAATTACTATGTCTTTAATATGAAAATTGTCTCAGTTTTAAATTGTTTTTCAACTATGCTATTGACATTAATTTGACTTAAATTTTACAAGCATTTTATATTATATGTACATAAATATACTCTACCAAAAATAATACTTTAGGTAAATTATTAAATCATATTAAAGATTATAAAAGATTATTTATCTATTATAAATCCTTACCAGGTGTTGTTAATGTATGTTATCCACGTACAACTAACGCCATCTCACGGCCGTACAAGCGTTTCTCATCAATGCTAATTGATACTTTTCCGTTCGGAGAAAGCTGTCCATTGATGAACCATACATACATACATACATGCTAAGATTATCCTGCTCGTGGTGTAAATTGCTAATTAAAAAGTAAGAAAAATTCATATATTTTTGTTTATAATTGTTACGGACTTCATCATATAAATTTGATTGTGAGATCATACTAAGGTATAGCAACTAATAAATGTATTATCTTAGTCATCTATATATTATATAGAGTTAGTTTAGTTCTATATATTAATATGAATTTTATATATAGTACCGTAAATAACAGAAAGTTTCAAGAGCAAGACCGTTAAATCGTCGCGGAAGGAGCGATCCTGACTCGCATTTATTATAACAATATGGACGTCATATTGAATAAAGAATATTATTATTGTTTTACAAATAACTTCTTTTAATATTTCATATATTTTGCAACATTTTTGAAAATCGAATTCTGTTTTCAATTAAACAAACAGTCAAACGATTATATACTTTATAACATACATATACAGTACATTCCAATCACGAATATTATTATTTAAAAATTCCACATTTTCAAAAATGGAATGCAGATTCCATCGTATCAATTCCGTCATAGGATTATGTGTCTTATATCTATATGTTATAATATCATTATAGCTCGATATGAATAGCCGGTGTAACATTCTAGGACTCGAGATTCGATACCGTACAGCGGCGAGCGGTATTCGTTACGTCCCGGCCATATCAATCAAATTATAATATGCAGCTACCGTTATCATAAGAGGGCTCTATTACAAGGGGATAAGTTCTAGAATCGCTCGCAGCCGGGCGGCGGGTGCGATTTAAATTCCGTATAAGCGGGGTAGAGGAAGTCATGGTGCTATGTATGTCACATTTTCACTATGAACTTGGGTGAACTCGAATTTCGATGGCGTTCATGGTTTCTACTTGAGATTGTTCCTCGAAGGAGGTTGTATACTTGTATAGCACAGATACAAAATAAAACAATTAGATTAATGACAGCTGACGTTGACAGTTTTTAGTGAAGAAAATTTTTAGGGTTGCCAATTTATAGGTTCTATTTTTATAAGGTCTTATATATCTTCATACGAAAATTTAATTTAATTTCGTTTTTATATTTAGGAGTGAAAACGCAATGAAGATTTTTCCCATTCAAAATATTAGTATCAAATAAATATTACTTATATACGATATAATTGTTATTCTTCAAAAGGTATATAAAATTGTTTTTCTTAGATAATGATATCAACAGGTATAATAACGTTTGAGCAATAATTTTCGATAATATTCTCGTCTTGAGACAGAGATAAGTTAAAAGAACAAAAGACTTAATTTCTGAGTAATATGAAAGACGAAATGCAAGAATGCGTTCCCAAAAAGCGTCATTTCATTAATACAAGGAAATAAATACATACGAAATAACCTGACTTGGGCTGTAAATAAATTTAATTATATACATATAAAGATTTGTTTATTAGTTTAAACCTGTTGGCAAGAGTTGGTTAGAGCAAGCATATATTTTACACTAGATGCGATTATTCTAAGTCTGAGACTTATAATAGAGAAATTCTTAGACTTAATAAAGACTGAGACTTACATAGAGGGATGATGCAAGAAAAAGGAAAAGGTACCACGAAAATGAAGTGAAAATCTTGTGTCATAAAAATGTTTTTTTCTAAATAATTATCATTGTGGAAATACGAAAAATTATAACGATAATCTTTCTTTTTCAACCTAAATAGTACCCTCTAATATGACAATAAGTAATAAAAGTAATTATACCAAAAAATATATTCTCGAATGATCATAATAGATTAAAATTTTTCCATTATTTTAACAAAATAACAGTTGTATATAGATAAAAGGAATGTACCAATATCGTATTGCATCAGAATGTGATTACAAATTCTTAGGAATCGTAAAACACACAATCAGGTGAATTCATTTTATTACATAAAATAAAGATGCATATTGAAAACGTTTCAAACATGGCCGTTGCACAATCATAGCAAAGTTTTTCCTGCGATTTTACTCTCTATTTTCTTACTAATTTGATTTTATTCTCTACGACGTCAGAATTTCATTTTAATATAAACTAATTGGACAATTGGTCCTTTGAAGATATTTGTGAGCGACAGCGATTTCATACAAATTATAAATCTTATTTGTACGTAAATTATACCATTATATACGATGAATGAGATATTATTGTAATGATTCATTAAATTAATTTTGCGTATAAATATAACAAACATACATACATGCTTATAGATTAATATTATTATATATAGCTACTATAACGCCATAGGGAGGTTTTTGGCCTACTGATGCCACATTGGCCAGAAGGGTTGGCATAGGGTTTGGTTTCGAGATTTCCTTCTCTAGGTAATTCTGAAAGTATTTAGACATCACTGACATACGGTGAAGGAAAACATCGTGAGGAAACATGAACTTATAGTTTCACAATTATAAGTTTGAAATCACCAACCCGTCTTAAGCAAGCGTGGTGATTAATGCTCAAACCTTCTCCATGAGAGATGAGGCTCAGCAGTGGGCTCTGATAGACTGATGATGATGATGATAGGTAATCCTTGTGGCGCGAATTGGGAGAAGCCTATGTCTAGCAGTGGACCAAGATTGTATAAATGATGATAGAATGAATACTATAGATTTAAGAAATGGTCCTTGTAGGTGCAACAAATAATGTAGTTGTTCTAGTAATCTTAAAATTCCTCTCAATTCCTCTTATTTATAATTCCTTTATCCGTAATATTATTTCGTAATGTAACTCGATCTTTTACCGGATGTTTTTTGAACCTTAGTCTGTTGTTTTATTATATATGTATATGTAAGTGCGTCATCGTAATTTGAAACTAAATTAAAAACCTAAACAGCTCTATATATTCATTGATATATTTTCAGATTGATATATAATTAAAAATGTCAAATTTCTTTTAGGTAATTTATTTTCTTTGAAATTATCTTAATTTTTTGACGTCATTTTGTTTGTTTTGTTACATTATGATATTATATATAACGTTAGGTATTTCCCTTAGCTGATACTATTGATAATATATATATGTTGATAAGATTTTAAAACGAAACAACACGTCATCAATAAAATGGCGTCTGGTTAGTATTGATTTTCCTCCAGCCAACCAGTGATCGACTCGGTTATCTATGTATATAAAGTACATCGAAACTAAGATACTATCGCATTTAAGAGGCTAGCTATCGACATTTTTGAATATTAAGACGTGTCTTGTGTCTGTATACGAGACAATGGCTGATTCACGCTGCGGTCTGCACATAGCTACAGGATATTGACCCTTACGGCGCAAAACAACGCAATATTTACAATCAATAACAATATTAGATGTATTTCTTAATTAATTAAAGTCGCAAACCGCTTGCAATCATGTTTTGTATTAAAAAAATTGTTCAATCTATCAGCCGATTGTCGGAACTGATTCACAATAAGCGACATCTTGTTATATAATTCTAATAAAATACATTAGTACAAGCGACTATGACTCATCTATTGTGGAGTTTTCTTGGAATAGTGAAATGAAAGTCCCAGTTATTCAAACATGGGCGTCGCTTTGACTTGTTCCTTTGTTTTTGCAGAAATCAAAACAGAAGTCATCGTCGAGGCCAAAGTTGACAGCGACAGAGAAATGAAGATCGAACAGGAGTCGCGCGCCACGCGCACCACCAGCATAGACAGTGACAACAGGAGTGACAGGAGCGAAGAAGATGACTGCAGGAGGGCCAGGAAGAGGACGGCTTCAACATCACCGTCACCCATACCCTTGGACAAAAGAACAGCCCGCTTCGAGTGTCGCAAATGCCTCCAGCGTTTCGACTCCATCAACGCGTTCGATCTGCACCGGTTCACAGCTCACGGTGACGACAACAGATCAGGATTCGACGACTACATAGATTACTCCAGCAAAAAGTTCCAAGACATGATACACCCTCACATTACAGAGGGGCTGCGTTGTGATCACTGCTCCCGCGAGTTTCCCACTGGACAGATCCTGGATATTCACAGGAAGACATGCGGCGGCTCCACCAGAATAACCAGCCCTGACCGGGATCGCAGGGAGTTCTTCGCTAAGCTGGACTTAAGGAACAGGTCCTTCGGTATACCGGGGACCTTGACCCCACCTATGGATCGCTTCACACCAAAGTTTGACGAAACACACCTCGCTAATGGAATCAGACCTATCGATGCCGCTAGAGACTTGGCCGATATTCAATCAATACTGAACGTAACATCTGCTGGCAGTCTCCTGGAAAGACTTACGGGGAGTCGTGTGGCGTTAGAGAGTTCAGTACTCACACCTCCCGACACGGTAGTTAAAGAACGAGAACAAGAGGAGACCCAGGATAACTTTGCCGCTGAGTTCAGGAGAATGAAGCTCCGTGGAGAATTCCCTTGTCGACTGTGTCCCGCAAAGTTCCCAAACCTCAGAGCTTTAAAGGGACACAATCGGGTTCATCTGAGTGGAACCGGCCCCGGGCCTTATCAGTGTAACATGTGCCCGCATGCGTCCTTGGATAAAGCAGCTCTAGTAAGACACATGCGTACTCATAACGGAGACAGACCATACGAGTGTGCTGTGTGCAACTATGCGTTCACAACTAAAGCTAACTGCGAACGCCATCTAAGAAACCGTCATGCGAAGATTACGAGAGAAGACGTGAAGCGATCTATCATTTATCATCCATCCGAAGACCCTAACAATGATGAGGTGAATTCTAAGCTCGCTCGTGAGGAAGTCAAGAGGTCCTTGGCCTTCCACACGCCGGATGTTGACAGACGCAATGAATCATCTGGACGGAACACACCCCTGACTCATTTCAATCCCAGTTTCATCACCGATCGACACCCTGTCACTTCTCTGACTAAATCCTTACCTGAAACACCTACGTTAACACCGAGAGAATCTGAGCAGCCCATGCCAAGGATAAAGGTCAAAGGAATCGGCCAGTTGACCCAAATTCCTGAATTTAGGACACCAGAGTTAACATTTAAACCAAACGACATACAGGCCGAGGCGTACAGTGAAGAATCACCAGTAGACCTCAGCACGAGTGACAACAACAACTGCGATGTTTTAGATCTCAGCAAGAAGAAACGCGATGTAGATGAGGACGATACAAAGACAACACCTCGCTCTGCTTTTGATAATTCATCTGCATCCGCTGCTGCCACCGCCGCTGCATCAGCTTTCGAAAAGACGAGACTCCTTCTAGCTCAGCAAAGACTATTCGAAACCTCTCTACCGAAAATCGATCCAGCTTATTACGCTACTCAACTTTCTCAGCTCTATGCCAGCGCAGTCCCAGGCTTGCCTGGTCTGCCGATACCATCCTCATTCCCCATAAACCCATACTTTCTCCAAACTTCTTTTTTTCCCCATCCAACAGATTCGCAAGAAATAACTGAAATCAAGCAGCGTATTCACAAAGAAATATTCAGAGGTCTAAGTATGTCCGGCGGGAGATTAGTGGACGATACTGAAACTCAGCTCAAACAGGAGCCGGAAGAAGAGGAAGTTAAACCTATCCCAGTAGCCTCGACCCCGACTCCTCCTCCCCACGCTGAATCTCCCCGTCCATTAAGTAACCCACTAGTAACACAGAACGACTCCGTCAAGATGGTAATAAAAAACGGCGTACTTATGCCGAAACAAAAGCAAAGACGATACCGGACTGAAAGACCGTTCTCCTGCTCTCAATGTTCCGCGCGCTTCACACTACGCTCTAATATGGAACGGCACGTCAAACAACAGCATCCTCAACACTGGAGCGTCAGGCGTCCTTCACCGAGAGCGCCCCCGCCCTATCCTAATACAGACACTCTAGCCGATCGTGTGAAATATGCCTTACTGGCTCGTCACTTGGAGAGACCCTTGCAGGCAGACCGCTCTCCTGTACGAAGAGACTCAGATGAAGTTGCGGACAACGAAGAAGATGAAGACGACACTTTGGTCATTGACGAAGAACCGGAAGACCGGAAGCCCGAGGAACACACGGCCGCTAGACGAGCCGCAGCTGAAATCCTCATGGCCTCGTGCCAGCAAGAAATGCATAAGGATTTTGATCTCAAAATAGCCGGAAATCTTATTAACAAACCGGTCCCCATCACTAGTGACAAGGTAGAAGCTAGCGCGGATCTTGTAGCAACTCAAGACGCCGTACCAGTTGTCCCAACTCGCAGTGACGAAGAAGAAGACGAGGAGGGTCTAGTGGCGTCCACCAGTGAGGGAAACAATTCGGGAAGCGATGAAAATAAGTAGGTTGAAACTAACCCCCTGGAAATACCTATTAAATACCTAACAAAAACTAATTCTTCAATATTATTACAGATCTGAATCCGACACTGGTACGCAGCCACCAAAGAAGAAATCCGCATACAGTCTAGCTCCCAACCGCGTCTCCTGTCCGTACTGCCACCGCAAGTTCCCGTGGTCATCATCACTCAGACGCCATGTTCTCACACACACGGGACAGAAACCTTTCAAATGTCCTCACTGCCCTCTTCTATTCACAACGAAATCCAACTGCGACCGTCACTTACTGAGAAAGCACGGAGGTTCAGCGAAAGCGATCCTCGCCGAACCAATTCCAGACACCATAACACCTCAGAACAACGAAAGCAGATCTGTACCTGAGAGGCCGTTTAAATGTGCATCATGTCCGACTAGCACGTTTTCTTCTATGGAGACATTGAAGAAACATATGTCTTCTCGCCACGGAACGGCTGAGTCACAGCCGGATTCACCAAACCCTGAAGTAGAAGATTCTGATGGTAGTCTAGTATTCAAGTGCCACCTATGTGAAGCGTCATTCGGGGACCGTTCCGGAGCCCTAACACACTTGGCGTCAGTCCACGCGGCGGAGTACGAACAGCTCGTAAGCAAGGGGGCCCTGGACGCTGTTAGTGATCGAAGTGAAAGCGCTGATGATGATGAGAAGGGGAAATTCCCAGATCACGCCAACAGGAAGGTAGGCGTACATAAGTATCTATATATATAAAAGAAATTAGTTTTAGATTCACTATTTTTAACTCTGAGGCTGTTGGGATAAGGTTGGAAATTATCGAGCCGATAGCTTAGAACAAAGAGACGAACATTTTGTTCGTTAAGAAAAATAATTTAAAAAATCCAATTTCTTATTATTTATATCCTCTATTGCAGACTAGAATTCGCATGATCAGATATATTATTATCAATACATATATTACCATTAACGCTAAAAACTAATATTATAAGATTAAAGCTACCATGAAATATATATGTATAGTTGTTTCCATATAATAACTAACCCATTATTCACAGGTCGTATGTGCATTCTGTGTCCGTCGCTTCTGGTCAGCGGAGGACCTCCGTCGTCACATGCGGACTCACTCCGGAGAGAGGCCCTTCGCCTGTGACCTGTGCAGGCGACGATTCACACTCAAACACAGCATGCTGAGACACAGAAAGAAGCACAGGGAGGACAGTGATGATGAAGACTCGCCCAGAGATAATGGGTGGGTTGATTGTACTAGAAAGATTTTGTATAGTCACTATATATGCTTTGACCTACTTTATCATGTGTTTTTAAGATACATTATTATCAATTACTGCTATATAAATTAATAGAAAACTGAATTTTTTGACGGACCTGTTTTCGAAACAGGCAGAGACACATTAATTCCTCGGAATGGTTATTATCATTCTTAATACTATTTCCAAAGCAAAAATATGTACAAATTGACACATTAATATTTCGATGTATTATTTAAATCTAGTATCCTTTGTAGATACCGCTACCACGACGAAGAAGGTTCTGGAAACGAGATCCCCAGCAACGTGAACAACAATAACTCCCCGCCGGCCGCCGACAAGAAACTCAAGATAGAAATGACGTCGCGCAAATATTCATCGGAGAACGAGAACGACACGGAAAATGGCGGAGATCTGATTGGGAAGTTACTCGGGATACCTGACAAGACCATCATCAACAAACTGCTCTCATCAGCGGACGAAGCTGCCAAGTTCCTCGGCGTGAACAAATGAGAGTACGCATTAGTTCTCGTGACGCCCGCTAGGCTCATACTAGCGCCGCGAGGACTAAAGCTTGCGACGTCGCAACCACGTACAACGCCATCTACCAACGAATAGATGTACTTCTAAGCTTATACTTCTAGCGCCATCTACCAACGAATAGCTTATATTACGCAGGTGCCTTTCGCTGCCTTAGTGTATAATACCGTCCTTTCTGCCTTATGTTGTATATATTTTTTATCGTGGGTGTTATCAACGAATATATTTAGTGCCAGTACAAGTACACTGACTTTGTGGTGTTACGTGTAGGTTACTGTAGGTATAGGGTAGTCGTTACTTGACTAGACACGTTTGCATTTTCATCTAGTCGCATTCTTTACACATCTCCATTCAATAGTTGTGAACCGCAGCCAAATATGATATCAAATCCAAAATTCTCTAGTCAATATCTTAACTTTCTTGCAACCAAATATCATTTCGCGGATTCATTGTTCGTGTTATATAGGGTGTTCAGTGTATATCCTACAACGATGCGTGCTAACTTTAATATAGTTATATATAAGACAGTCTTTAATCTAAATCTATCTTCTCACTTATATCTTTTAACACTATTTGTAAATATTTTATTCGCCTCACGGTGACTTTCGTTTGCTCAAAATTATGGCATTTCTTATTTATAATTATATTTGTTTTTATTTAAGAAATAGGATCTCTGTTATTCTTTACGTACCAAAGTTGGTGGACATTTGTTTACCGGTGTGGTAATAATTGTTTGATATTTAATATATATATTTTTTATTTTATTTCGGTGCAGTGGGTTTAAAACTCGTTAGTGTAAGGTAGTTAGTAATATTCAGTCTCCTCAATGGATCGACGAATCATACGCTAGAATATACCTAAGTTGGATTTGCTTTGTATAATAAAGATGCAGATTATATACCAAATACAAAATATATATTATATATAAGGATTAACTTGCATAAGCAATATTATTTATTAATTAGATTGAAATATATATAACACATAAGCTTTTAATTGAAGAATATAATATATTTGTGTGAATATATCTGATATTTTTTAATTTAGTGTTGCTAATAGTAAAATTCCTGCTTAATGTCAATTATAGTTAAAGGAATATTGGAAATTTAAAAAAAAATTGTAATTATATAATTTCCAATAGTTTGTAATATTAGTTGCTTATTATGGATGTTGAAATTGTAACTTGTGCTTTGTTTCTGTGAATGTTATTTAAATGTTTTAATTATAATTATGATAAGCACTTACTTAGTATTATATTGTATTGTAAGTAATCATAAGATGTGGCAACACCGCTTGGCCTTTCAAAACGTAGTGTGTTAATATATAAAAGTTATTTAAGATATTATTGTTAAATAAATTACAATTTACCATTATTATATGCATGTTTAATTATAATAATATTATTATTGATAATTATTATAGTAAGCGTATTCACTTCACTTTTTGCCTCTTGTCTTTTTTGCAATATGAGTGTCGTTTTTAAAACGTTTGTCAAATACATTATGGTGGATTAATAAAGAAATATTGCTTCTTATATTTATGGTCTCTTATTTTTACTGCGAAATTATCAAATACACATTAAACATTCATTTATAGGGCTTTTAATATTATATTATTACAATTTCACATTATAATGTCACTAAATACAAGTTTCTGTGAGTTACTAACAGATGTCGCTACTTGGTATTTCTATATAACATGAAAACAATATGTTTCCTTAATATTAATTTTATTAAAATAAGTAAGTATTTAAGATGTTAAATAAAATTAATATACTTAATATGTGACGAGAATAAAAAATTCTTACATTTCTGAACATATTTCTTATCAGTGTTGCCAGAAATAAATTTTCATTTAGATATAATGAAAAACCAAATCCTTTACTACAACTTCACTTACAACATTTAAAACATTATCATCAAGTTTAATAAATATTTTTTGAAGTATCTGACATTCAAATTAATTATAAAATATTAGACATAAAAACTATTAGATTGTTATATTATTATTGTAGATGTTATGACAGACACAAAAATCATATGAAAATATAAATTCTATTTTGTTAAATGGGATTTCAAGAAATTATCAATAATATTAATTACATGAGTCATGAAATATTTTTTAATAATATTAATTGCAACAATTTTGTAATATAGAACTTATTTCATAACTTTTCTCAGGATTTTAAAAACTCAATATATGAATAAAGTAAAAATTATTATTTTTTATTTTAAAATTAAAATATTTTAATTATATATTATTAAAAAAAATATTTGACCTTGAAGTAAAAGTAAAAATGTATACTTTAAAACTTAACTGATACTCATGAACTGGCAACTCTAAATAGGTGAAGGAAGGAATTTGAAGAAATAGAAAGAAGTCGCTAATTTATGCGGGACCGCGTCTTTATTTTCAGATAAAATCGTTTAAGTATTAGTGTTAATTAATAGATATAACGTGGTTCATAGAATAAATAGCGAAGTTGGATTAGGTATGAATTAATTGTTTACATTCTTAAATTGTAATTAAGTGTCTAGCTTAGCTTGTTTTCTATGCAATGCATTCCACATAGTGACGTAGGTAGAAAACTATAATGCACTATTACCACATACATTATTTTTATTGACTATTGATTAACTGTTGAATTGTGATTTTAATATGTTTATGCCACTTTTATGTTGTTTACACTGTTGTTAATAATATTTCAGCTAAAAAAAAACCATCAATATGGGGGACCAGCAATTTTTCCTAAAATGGAACGACTTTCAAACGAATATGGTGACTTCTTTCAGACATTTGAGGGACGAAAAAAGTTTCACAGACGTGAGTGCTCCATATATATTAGCTTTTATAGCATCTTATTATTTTATAACCTCATAGTTTGTTTGGATTCGTGATGTGTATATTAAAATAATGTACATACTAAATAATGAAGTCGATCGAGTGTATAAATAAGCTTAAAAGTTAAAAGCATCTTAATTACATTAATTGGATCAATTTAACGCCTGTTCAATATAAAGCTGACATAAATATATTTAAAATAATGATTGATGAGAAATTCATTATAATAAGTTTGACTTATATGTGAAATATTACAATTTAGAATATATTAAATAATTTTTGAAAAACTAGATTGTTAAACTATCATTGTGTATCCTGTCACAGCTAGAATGAATAGCTTCCTGTGATATTTACAAATTCTTAATTTATTGACCAAACATGAACTAATGACATCCTCTTACAAGTTACAAAGAGAATTATATTTTGAAAGTATTAATTCAATTTTGTATTATAATGAGTTATTATTAAAAATTCTCATATTTGAAGGGAAATCAATAATAAGAAAAAAATTGTTCATATTGAAATACAGGCAATTACTTTCAAGTAATAAAATGTTAAATTCATTTAATGTTTTACTCCATAACTGTCGAGAATTAAATTTTAAATTCAAACATAAAAAATAAATATGACACATTGTTCTTCTTTCATTGTGTTTTGTAAATAGATTTATTTGTTTTAGAACTATATTTTCTATAAAATTATTTGTGTTTTGTGTAATTTGGTTTATATACCATAATATTCTGGTTTTAATTATATTAACTCTCATCTGAATATCGACTTACAAATAATTATTGATTTCAAAACAACTGAAATTGAAAGATTATTCAATAAAATTATTTTCTTCATGTTTAAATTACAATATATATAAGTTATACCAATTATATTGGAGTTAACGGTAAATATATTTGATTAAATGTAAAAATGTTATTTAATTATGCATATTTCTTTTCTAGGTAACACTAGCATGTGAAGGACAAACATGTAAAGCACATAAAATGGTCTTGTCAGCGTGTAGTCCTTATTTTAAAAGTTTATTAGAGGTATGCTCACTTATAATATATTAAAATAAAGTGCTTTATTTGATCAAAGTTTGTAAATTAATAATAATGTTAAAATAACTGTTCATAAAAAGTCTTTTATCTCTTTTAATGTTTAATAAGAGTAATTTTATACATATTTCTGTCATTATCATTGTTTTGTACTGATTATATATAATTAATTATTGTCTAATTCCAGGAGAATCCATCAAAACATCCCATAATAATCTTAAAAGATGTTTCATACCAACATCTCCAAGCTATATTAGAGTTCATGTACGCCGGGGAAGTGAATGTATCACAGGAACAGTTGCCGGCCTTCCTCAAAACCGCTGCTCGTCTTAAGGTATAATAGTAATTATAGTAATATAATTATTAATTTATAATATGATGTATCTATCAATTGTTCTAATATGATAAACAATGTGTTATGTTGCTTTCCATTTCTATATAACTGCTAAGTCTTGTTTAAATATGTACATAAGATTTTTAAATATTTTAAAATATCCATTTAATGTTTGGTAACTTACAAAATATTTATATTTGCTACATTTAAAAGTCTGTATATATGATAGAACAATTTATTTATTTTTTTGCTTTTGTATTATTGATTATGTTGATAGTAAGAAATTAAAAAGTATTGAGTCAAGGTGAAAGAATTAAAAATGTTTATACTACATTTTATTTAAAACTTGTCTCTTGAGGTTTTTTATTTGCTGTTATAATGTATTTCTTTTTTCTTGTTAAAGTATGAATATTATTTTTGTTTTCAGGTAAAAGGTCTAGCAGAACCACCACCGCAAATGCCAAGCATCAAAAGGGAAGGCTAGCAGTAAATAAATACTAGTGATTTAACACCAACGTTACAACCATTGTAAGGTTATTAATTATTTTCATAAAATACGGTCCTAAAATTATACAAAAAAAATATATGAAAGCAATTTTAAACAACTACATTGTAGTGTCTTGGTTTGTGTGAGTTATTGATCCATAGTGTTAATGTTTGATATTCATTTGATATTATTTGGCTTATACTACGGACCTAATTATTTAGCTAATTCAGGCGTTCACAGCCACTTAAGCAATACATAGTCGAATGGACGATGTGTGACAACAGTATGTGGATCGAGCAATATAGTTTTGCTACATTGATGTTTTTGACTGCTGTATAAGTTGAATGTGTATTATTTTCATTTAATATAGACGAGCACTCCATTGTGTGGTGCCTTTAAATTGTATTTAAAGGAAACGGGAAATTCATATGATGACAATTTATCAAAGATATAAGTTATACAGGGTGTGATGCTGAACACACTTTGATCTATCCCACTTAGTTACCTAGCAACCAAAGTCTTAGCTCGTATAAACAGATAACCCAACAAAGTGTGCCCGACATCACATCACACACTATGTATGAAAGTCAACATCGGAGTATTCCATTGCTGGCTATATATAAAGTGTGTTATATACTCGACCGACAGATGCCTTATAATCTAATTTCCAATACATATGTCTTATAAATCAGATGCATGTTTTATATGTAAATTTAACAGAACAGAAGAATATATTTTAGTTATTTATAAATATTACAATTAGACATAATGTATTGGAATGCCTTAATACTTGCTTTGTTAGCATTGTAAGGTGTTCGATGTAGTTTCAAATCATTATTGTTATTATTATTTTTTCCAACAAAGGCATAATACTTTAAATAACTCTTCTTTAGGTTAAGTTTTCATTTGTCAAAAATCTTTTTTTTTTTTTGCTATTTTTACTTAAATTAGGATTACGTTGAAATTAAATTCTAAATTAGTACAAAACAGATTTTGCTGTTTATTAAACATTTTGTATGTGTCTCATGTTTTTGTTTCCTTCTTGTATTTCGGTTCTCATTTATTTTTTAATGAATTAATACTTCTCCTTGAGCTGTAATGTTAGTTGTATAAATGTAAATCTGATATTTTTAGATGATGTAATGGGATGCTGGATAGATCACGTGGACTAGTGAACTATGTAATGATTGAAATTATGAAAGATTTGTAATTTTAGATAATAATAAAAATAATTAATACAATTTTCTTATCTTTTACTTCAATCTACATGACTGACCAAATGAAATTTTAAGTTGATAGACATTATTCAAGACAACACATAAAAAATAAATAGTAAATAAAATGAGTTAGGCAGCTTGTGATATCAGCATTTTATTTCATGAAACATTTCGCAATACTGTTGTTAAAGGTAACAAAGTAAAGTTTTAATATTTTCTTGTATTATTTCCAGTTTTTTATATAAAAAATATATATTAATAATCAACGAGATGTCACACCACTGTCACCAAGATCAATTAATAGACAAAATTATCACTGGAAGTAGAATGATTCTGGGATATGACAAATACTTTGAATAAAAAATATTTATTACATACAGAATGTAAAAAAAACAGTTCAACGTTAATATTTATACGTAGGTACTATTAAGATTTTAAAACGTAAAGTGTGTGTAACTTAGTATCATATAACATTTTTGACCGAATTTGTAAAGAAAACTATTTTATAATCTTTTAATATGAGGTCAATCATCTCGAAATTAAAATAACAACAATAATAAAGTAATGAAATTTATTTGTTACATTTATATTTTGCACAATAAAATATATATTACAGCTTTAAAAAAACAAAATGCATTTTTTGGAATGACAGCAAGAAAAACATAATATTATACAAACTTGAACTTAACACAGCCATTATGATAAATAAATAAATAAAAATATAATCAAAAGTAATTAATAAATTAACTTTTTGAATAAATTTGGTTTTTAGCATTAAAATGTAACAATATGGCAACACAATAGGAACATTTGAAATAATAAATATGAAAAACATTTCTGTTTAAACTTAAAGGTATATTTTTGTATATATTTTTGGTAAAACGCAAGTTTCCAGTCATAACTCGTATAAATAATAACCTCTTATAATGTATACACTTCAAATTATAAATAAACAAAATAATATGAAAATATTTGACTAAAATATGTATTTCATTAATATTTATTTCATATAACAACAAAAAATCACTGCAATATATTTGGTAAAGACTTTGGTTAAATTAATTTAATTTAAATTATAAGTAAACAATGGCGGCTGGTGGGTAATAGAACTGGTGGTGCACTTTACTAAAATATTAAAATTGAAAAATCCAACAAAACATAACGAAATGTCAAAAACGGCTCAATTCGTCATACATCGGGTGCTCTCGGTAAACTCCGGCCGCTCGTGCGGCGCTCGAGAACCGACTCATTACTCGGTACATTTCTATGAACTATCTTTTGTTTCACGCGTCAGGCGTATTAATGCGTATCTTATACAAGATGTATTAACAGTCCTCGTGCACTCACCGAAGCGCACGATATGAGTTTAGTAAAGCGCTCAAACTTTTTGACCATAATTAGGGAATTTAATTTTTTATCCGTTTTTATATGTGTAAAAAATAAATATTAAAATGGTTATTTAAAAAAAAAGATGAAGTAATATTTTGTAATTTTTAAATCTTTTGAATTGGTGGTTCAGCGCACGAGTGCACTTAAGGTACAGCCGCCACTGTAAGTAAATAAAACACTGGTAACATTATAAATGCTTCGTGTGACAGAAATCCTTCATCCTCACACTACAGATGAAAATTATTTAACTACTATTAAAATAAATGCTTGTATTTGTATGGACGTTGTTAAAAATTACTAAACACAATTTTTAGGTCAATAATAAGTTTTTCAGTATCACTTCACAAATTATTAATAAATACAGTAATAGATACATTGTATATATAACTACAAAAAAAATATTAATTTAGTAGCCATTTCGTTTGGTGTATTTTATTTGAATGTATAAGTACTTTTAAATGAAACTAATATTTTTCGGATATACCACGCGTCTTTATCGTGATGACGGTTGCTGAAAAGTAGCCAAAACGTCGGCAGTATGTAGTTTTTATCAAAAATAAAGTCACGTATAGTCCGTTAGACTTAAAAACAATTCAAACTTTTATTCACTTGACATTGCGTTGTCAACATTCGAAGTTGCTACCATTACAAAGGGTGAAGTGCGGGGCGGAGTAAAAGCCGAATAAACCGTTTCAAAACTAGAAAAGAACGTGGCATTTAAAAATTTGAGATCTCACCTACACTAGCCCTGTGCACTCACACTAATACAAAGCTCAGCTTAAATCAAACGCACTATAGTATATGCGAAAAATATTAGTTTCATTTAAGACTCGACAAATCTTAGATCTCATTATGTATATGTAGTGTATGTTATTATCATTGTCTATACCCCTGTGGGTTCTTCTCCTGCCACCTCCAAGTATCCTCACACATCTGTTCCAGGTTCCTGGTTGCTTTCCATCCGAGGAGTGTCCTCGCTAAGGTCACATCAGCATAATTAGCAGCGACATCACCAGCTCGTCTTCCTACCACACGGTAAGGCACTTGTTTTCCACTCACACGCTCAAAGGATGACACTAGTTGAAGAACAGACTGACCTTGACCGGTACCTGTAGTTTTATATATAAGAATCTTATGCTTATAAATGCCTATTAGATTCAAATGTATAAGCATTATATTTTCTCATAAACATATAAGCAGTTTCAGTTTATAGTCAGTGGTGGCCTAATAGTTAAAAGGTCCGCCTCTCATGCACGAGGGCGCTGGTTCGATCCTGGCAAGTACCAATGTGATATTTCCGAGTCATATGTACTTTCTGAGAGTATTTAGACATCACTGATTAATGCATTCCCAAAGAGGGTTGATGTCAGGCAGGCGGCCGGTCATAAAAACAATTAGCCAAAACTATTCACAACATGTAAGGCAGACCCTGGCTAAAGCTTGAAAATTGCCAGTTAGAAAATATAAGCAGTTTCAAATAAAGTTACTATCTATCCATATCTTATCTCATCAAAAAGTAGATTTAAATGTAATTATCAGTATTTTTTCAACATATCTACATACCCAGGTTAACAGCGTGGAATCCTCTGAAGTTATTGTCATCAAATAGTCTAGCTGCTCGCAAGTGTCCATCAGCTAGGTCCATCACATGTACATAGTCCCTCACACCCGTCCCGTCAACAGTTGGATAATCATCTCCAAACACCTGCAACTCCTTGAGACGACCCACGGCCACCTGGAAACGTAAATATGTAACATATTGAATACTATCAGTATCCTACTAATATTATAATTGCGAAAGTTTGTGAGTGTATGTGTATGTTTGTTACTTCTTTACGCTCAAACGGCTGAACCGATTTTGATGAAATTTTGTATACAGGAAGTTGACGTCCAGGAATAACACATAGGCTACTTTACATCCTGGAAATCCCGGAAATGCGCGGGTAACACCGCGGGGCGCAGCTAGTAGTATATAAGTTAGGTTTTAAACTGAATTGTATGTATATATCTTTGTTGTGGTGTTAAAAACTATTCATCTAATAGCACTCAGATATCTGTTATATCAATTGTTGGCAAATAACCATATTAGTCTCTATACATATGGAATGTAAATTACATGTTTTTAGACAAACAATTAATGTGTCTGTTTGTATTATCATAGACTTTTAACTGAGATCAGTTAAAAGTCTATGATAATACAAATATAACTATAGAGCATGATTTTATGTAGAAGAACATTGATAGATTCATTCACTGACATGGACAGAGGCATTGTAACTTATAGCTCATTTGATAAAGAGACTGAAACACTACACAATAAAGTGCAGGTTCAAATGTGAATTATACCTATATCATAACAATTAAGGTTTCAATTATTTAAAAAACTTATAAGTATTTAATGAAATCTAAGATTTTCGTTAGTACTCATTTAAATGAAACTAATATTTTCGGATTTACTACGCGTTTTCTATTTGTGACTATAAACTACATACTCCCGACGTTTCGGCTACTTTACAGCAATCGTGATTACGGTTAATGAAAATATTAGTTTGTATTATACATATACAGGGTGACTGGTGAATTACTATCGATACTTGAGGACGTGATATTTGACGATCATATATGACAAAATAAAAATTAATATAACATAAATATTAATAAACTTCTGAGTAAAGTTAACCAAAAGTTATGTAATTAATTACGCATCGTATGAACACCCTACAGATTAGGTATACACACACACTCACACAGACGCGGCGGCGGCGTAGTGTTGTATCAGCACGCCGCCGCACGCGCCCACACTCGGAACACTTGGAACGTGTACACACTTTATTTATTTATACGGAAATTTGGTCAAAAATTAAGTACCTATTTTTTTTACATAATTCGAATGAGAATCATGTACCGAGTATGCTCCTTAAATATTGATAGTAATTCACCAGTCACCCTGTATATATTTAATGATATATTAATACAATTTAATATATTATAATACCTGTGATATATAAGGCATCAGGTTGTTGGGAGGTCCGGTGGGATCTTCACCTATCCTGCCACTGATATGAGCTCCCACGGGATTGAAGTAACGTAGAGATACAATCTTCCAATTCTGGAAAGAAAATAAAACCAATTCAATTTCTTTTATTTACTAGGACAAAGTTATCTTACAATATTAGTATATGGTTGGAGAAAGTACTCTACTTATACTAAAATAAGACACATTGATTCATTTTAAAAATACAAAAATTTCCTCAAAATAAAGATTTAACTGTATTATTTTTGGGTAGTCTTATTATTTCATACATCCATAAGAGGCATAACAAAAAGGTCTTTTAATGTCTTATTTATAATACTAATCTTTCATATTAATTCACCACTTATATTTTCTAATATTTCTCAACATTTTTCACTAACAGTATTCCATGTAACAAAATTGTTGATAATTTCATAACATTGAATGAGAAATTCATAAGGCACTATAGTTTAGTTGGCAAAGCGATTTGAATGTAATCTCAAAGTAACAGGTTCAAGTCCAGAACTATTTGACTTTCATAATTTCTTATATAAACATACTTTTAATATTAAAATTATAAGACTTATTGAGATATAATATTAATAATCCCTACTAATATTATAAATGCGAAATTAACTCTGTCTGTCTGTCTGTTACTCTTTCACGCCTAAACCCCTGAACTGATTTTAATAAAATTTGGCACAGAGATAGAGTTGACCTTGAGAAAGAAAATAGGATAATTTTTATCCCAGACTTTTGAAAGGTTCTCTTGGAAACGCGATATAACCGAACTACACGCGGGCGAACCTGCGGGTGGAAAGCTAGTTAGTATACAGGGTGACTGGTGATTTACTATCAATATTTAAGGAGCATACTCGGTACATGATTCTCATTCGAATTATGTAAAAAAAATAGGTACTTAAATTTTGACCAAATTTCCGTATAAATAAATAAAGTGTGTACACGTTCCAAGTGTTCCAAGTGTGGACGCGTGCGGCGGCGTGCTGATACAACAACACGCCGCCGCGCGCGTATGTGTGAGTGTGTGTGTCTACCTAATCTGTAGGGTGTTCATACGTTGCGTAATTAATTACATAACTTTTGGTTAACTTTACTTAGAAGTTTATTAATATTTATGTTATATTAATTTTTATTTTGTCATATATGATCGTCAAATATCACGTCCTCAAATATCGATAGTAATTCACCAGTCACCCTGTATATACCTGATCGCTGTTGCACAAATCTTTCATTATCTCCTCACAGAAGTATTTTGTCTTTCCGTAAGGGTTGGTGATCCCTGAACCAGTAGGATGACTCTCATCCAAGGGTAGCCTCTGTGGATCTCCGTACACTGTACACGATGAACTGTACACCAGTTTGTACACATTGTGGGCTCGCATTGACTGGAGGTTTAAAACAATATTAATATATATTATTAGATAAACAATGATAGTAAATAATTGTATTATTTTACTTCTATGTGACATTATGTGTATTTTATATGTAGTAATGAATATATCAATTCATCAATTTACAGTTGTGAGCTACTTGAAAAGGGATTTTTATGTGAGGGCATGGTACTATTTAGAATTACTTTAAGTGTTGATTAATTATTATGAATAATATTATATATCATTTTAACAATCATATTGAATTACTATCTTTACAAAGTTTCTCCAATTATTATTGTACAATACTTTATATATGTATCAGAATACATACATATATATAAGGACATATAAATGATTTTCACACATATATAATGTATATTATATATATACCTCCAGTAAGGTGCATGTCCCAGTAATATTAGCCTGGTAGTATTCCAGCGGTTTCTGTACTGACTCCCCAACAGCTTTTAATGCAGCAAAGTGAATCACACAATCTATTTTGTGCTGAAATATAATACATTGATATTATGAGTGAAATAATATGACATATATGTATCATGGTGTATAATTTTCATCATATCGTCGGGGATAGTGCAAATCCGCGTATCTACATTGGAAGCAGATTATTAGAAGGAGGTTTAGGCTGAAATATTTTATATATTAACGACTTTCAAGGTAATTTTTTCACAAGTAGTAATAATTTAGTGTTTAATTTATTACATCCCCGACGATATTTCACTTGTGTATTTATATTTATACTTCATATTATATGTGTTTATACTATTTGTGTGTGTGTGTGTGTGTGTGTGTGTATACAGGGTGTGTGTGTGTATTTCAACAGTCATAAAAATTTTTTTCTCACATTATCAAATATCTTGTCCAGCCCCTCTCTGTCTCTAATATCGACGTCATAGAAGTGTATATGTTTGTTCGTCATCTCCTCGATCCTCCGTAACGGCTCGGGTTTCTTAACGCCATCACCTCTTAAACGATAAATATATTACGATGAGAAAAAATAGATATTTATAATTAAATATGTACATAATTTGTAAAGACAGTTTTTCCTATTTTTCTTGTGATTTTTTAATCACAGATTGTATATTATATTTATATAACTACTTATTACGCATATTGCAATAATAAGTTCATTTACAAGGTGACTACTGACTGGTGAATTACTATCAATATTTAAGGAGAATACTCGGTACACGATTCTCATTCGAATTATGTAAAAAAAATAGGTACTTAATTTTTGACCAAATTTCCGTATAAATAAATAAAGTGTATACATATATACAAGTGTGTACATATATACAATAGATCATTTACGTATACAAAAACAACGTATTTTACTAAGAACTACACATCCAAGAAACACACGTAATATTATTGTTGACATTACATTACATATAACTTATGCGACTGCATATTTTTCCTCAAAGGTATCACAACACATGCAGTTTCAAATTACTATTAGTCTTCATTCACAACAACTAGTAATTGAAGACGGTTTATCAATGAAAAACTTTCGACTACCTATATTAAATTTGTTAATGTAACTAACTCTTATTTTACAGTTGTTATATATTTATTTTTATAATATTTTCTTCTTCTTCTACCTGGCAAATTTCCCAGCTATAGTCAGGGTCTGCCTTACATGTTGTGAATAGTTTTGGCTATTTGTTTTTGTGACCGGCCGCCTGCCTGAAATCAACCCTCTTTGGGAATGCATTAATCAGTGATGTCTAAATACTCTTAGAAAGTACATATGACTCGGAAAAATCACATTGGTACTTTCCCGGGCCAAGATCGAACCCGCGCAACCGTGCATGAGAGGCGGGCCTTTTGACCACTAGGCTACCACTGACTTTTTTTATATAATATTTTCTATAAGGTAAAACTCAAACTCACCTGTAAGCGTTGCTTAGATTGTCCACAACTATTATATCAACATCTTTTTCTTCTAGCAACGCGATGACTGTGTGAGATCCCACGTAACCCGCGCCTCCCGTCACTAAGATCGACATGCTGAAATATAATAAAAAATAATCATCATCAACAGCCTATCAGAACCCACTGCTGAGACTCTTCTCACATGGAGAAGGTTTGAGCATTAATCACCACGCTCGCTCAATACTGGTTGGTGATTTCAAACTTATAATTGTGAAACTATAAGTCCAGGTTTCCTCACGATGTTTTCCTTCATCTGTCAGTGATGTCTAAATACTCTACGAAAGTAACGTAATAATGGAAAAGATATATATAAGATGCGCTTACTACATGTTTGTATAGACATACTACATACGCAAAGTCTCACGTTTCTCATTACAACCTAAGATTAATATAGTATTTTAAGATTTATGAATGAAATACTGTTTACGTGCGTTGTATAGTAAAATCGCGAACTTGAATAAGCGTACATATATGTATTTAAAAATAATGAAAAATGAGAACTGTACAATTTGATTTTTATAGTATTTATAACTGTAAAATTTACACATTTTACGATGATGCAACAAGCATTATTTTAAAATAAATCATATAGTTTCTAGATTATAATTGGTATAAAAATTGGTTAAATCAGAATTCTCATATATGTACTTATACAGGGTGACTGGTGAATTACTATCAATATTTAAGGAGAATACTCGGTACATGATTCTCATTCGAATTATGTAAAAAAAATAGGCACTTAATTTTTGACAAAATTTCCGTATAAATAAGTAAAGTGTTGACACGTTCCAAGTGTTCAAGTGTGGACGCGTGCAGCGGCGTGCTGATACAACACTACGCCGCGACACGCGTATGTGTGAGTGTGAGTGTATACCTAATCTGTAGGGTGTTCACACGATGCGTAATTAATTACATAACTTTTGGTTAACTTTACTTAGAAGTTTATTAATATTTATGTTATATTAATTTTTATTTTGTCATATATGATCGTCAAATATCACGTCCTCAAATATCGATAGTAATTCACCAGTCACCCTGTATATTGTTCTACAAACAGTCTGAAATAAATCTTTCCTTACGTGACGAACATCTATTGAGTTATATTAAGTCATTGTTTCTAGATTGGTCTATTCAAACACAAGGTTACTACAAAGCAGTCTGAACTATTTAAATGTAAAACGTTATACAATATTGAAGCAGTTTAATGTTGATACCAAAAATAATATTGCAACTAAACGGATATAAAGAAACCAAAATATATTACATAACTATACAAATTAAAATTCTTTTTGGAATACAAAAATTGCTAAAAGTTTAAATTAAATAGGTAAAGTACATATATTTAAATATAACGCATAATATCTATTTTTTATATTATAAAACCTTTCAATTCTCTTATTAAAATTAAAACCTCTATATGAACATTTTGTTAATATAACAATAAAATTTCTCGAAATTATTTTTCGTACGAGTTACAAAGGACCCTACTACCTACACTCTATCCCTACTAATATTATAAATGCGAAAGTAACTCTATCTGTCTGTCTGTTACGCTTTCACGACTAAACCACTGAACTGATTTTAATGAAATTTAGTACAGACATAGAGTTGACCTTGAGAACGAACATAGAATAGTTTTTATCCCAGACTTGTGTAAGGTTCTCTTGGAAACGCGATATAACCGAACTCCACGCGGGCGAAGCTGCGGGTGGATAGCTAGTAAACTATAAAGTAAGTGACCCTACAATATAATGCACTTCAAACAATTTCATCACTTGATGTATTTACATTGTCATAACCTATATAAACGAGTGTCACTTCAATACTGAAATATATATACATATATGTGTATATATTATGTGTGTGTGTAAAACTACATAATATTTTACTTATTATGAAACGCTTATACATATACAACAGCGTATTGACTAGGCTTTCCACTTTTTTTTCTAATATGTGACTAAATATAGTATTTTTGAACGAACTCTTTGGTGTTAAAAATAAAAATAATAATATCTCATTTCAATTCTATGACAGATAGACTTCCGTTTCCAAATGTTTTTATCAAACAGGCGACTTTATTTTGAAATATTACTCATAGATATTTAACAGTATAATAGGATACTGATATATGCTTTGAATTTATTACAAAAAAATATTAATCGAAACGTTACACGAACTTACACCTTTTCATATAATAATAAGGTCGTTTTTTAATTGTTACAATTACAGTTTAAGAAATAAGTCCGAACAATAAAAGTCCAAGATTACATATAAACTTAAATATAACAATAATCAACTCTAATCCCTACTAATATTATAAATGCGAAAGTAACTCTGTCTGTCTGTCTGTCTGTCTGTCTGTCTGTCTGCTACGCTTTCACGCCTAAACCACTGAACTGATTTTAATGAAATTCGGTACAGAGATAGAGTTGACCTTGAGAAAGAACATAGGATAGTTTTTATCCCAGACTTTTGAAAGGTTCTCTTGGAAACGCGATATAACCGAACTCCACGCGGCGAAGCTGCGGGCGGAAAGCTAGTTCTAATATATTTAAGGATTATTTTATATTGTATGAACAATAAACTATGGTAATTGGAATTATTAAACGCCTTAATATCTAAATGTAATAAAAGTATTGAAAAGATAAAAAAAAACGTATACCGAGTAAGTGGTAACAGCGATATAATATTGCAATTACATTAGTATAATCTAAACACTTGAAAAATGTAAATAAATTGTTACATTTAAAATGTTTTATAGAGTACTAGCTTTCCGCCCGCAGCTTCGCCCGCGTGGAGTTCGGTTATATCGCATTTCCAAGAGAACTTTTCAAAAGTCTGGGATAAAAACTATCCTATGTTCTTTCTCAAGGTCAACTCTATCTCTGTACCAAATTTCATTAAAATCAGTTCAGCGGTTTAGGCGTGAAAGCGTAACAGACAGACAGACAGACAGAGTTAATTTCGCATTTATAATATTAGTACTGATTTTTAACGATAGTCTCTCATAGTGGCACTTCACTTGGCGTTTATTAGTTGCGTTCGGCGAAATAAGACCATGTGTGGAGGATTTATTCGTCTTCATTTGACATATTTGCACAAATAAGACACATACACAAATAAGCGAACACGCGTAAAGACGTGTTGTTGGCATGCCAAGTGTGGATGTCGTGTTTGAGCTATTTGGACTACGTACAAATATTTGTACAAATGCGGAGAATACGCAATGAAAAGTGAAGTGCCACCTAATAATAATAATAATTATGTTTAGAAAACAAACGCTTAATAACTATAAAAGTATAGAAAATCATTAATTCCTTGATTTGACAAGTGAAGAATAAAGTTACATATTCTTTATCAAGATTTATGTAATAATGTAAAAAAAAATTGTATCATTTGATAATCAAGAGAGCCGAGCCCAAAAAAAATATTAACATAGAAAAATAATTAAAATACAAGATAGAAACCATGTAAATGACATTAAGACAGATAATATTTACGAGCACAGATAAAAAAAACCTTACGATAAACATTAATCGTAATAAAAAATGAAATTTTGTTAAAATATATATATATATATATATATATTTAAAAAATATTATTATGCAATTATGTCTTACTTATTGAGGTTTTTAAATTTAATATATCCCTGAATTTTTTTGTAAAAGAAATTATTTTTTTTGCTATAAATATATATGAGATATATTTGTTATAAATTATGATACAAAAATAATGTTACTTTGATTCAACAAATATATTTCGGACTAATAGTACCAGTTTCATTTAAAAGTCTTAGATCTTAATGTTTATTTGACTTCTTAATATTGTACAAGAATATTCTTATTGTAATACGTAGTAATTTTTTCTTAATTAACTTGGCCTTATAATCATTATCAAATAAAAAAAATAGGTCTCCCCATTTGCAAAATAATTGGAATAAATTCATTAAATAACTCATTATAATATTTTGTGATAATGTAACCGTGTAATTTTAATCGCTATAAAATGCATACATTTATTTTCTTACATTAGATTAAAATTTTAAATTCTAATTAAAAATTGTTAGTCTATCAAATTTAAGGAAATATTTACGAAAGTTGAAAATTGTAAAGTACTATTATATAATTACAATAAAACAAAAATATATAAAGACAGAGAAACTTATTTTAACTGCATGTTAAATTGGTCTAAAATTAACATTTACAGTAAGTTAAGTCACTGATTAAATTTTGCGTAAGGAAAAAATACCACTATAATATAATATATGAGCACGTAAGTAAATTTGTCAGGAAATGTTTATATATGAATATTACACAAGATAATTGATATAGGAAAAATATTAGACTAAAATAATTCAGTCTGAAAAAGCAATATATTGACAATGACTTTGTGGCTAACGTAATATTAATAAATAATAATAATATGTGGAATGCACAAGCTATTTAAAACCTCGTGTGACTTTCATGACGTTTACATATAAATTAAAATTAATAAAAATGTAAAAACAATAAAATCAGTATATGAAATAAAATATTTTATACGCATTACAAAAATATATATAACCTACATAAAAAACAAATTGGACTTACATTTTATGTCAAGTGGCTTTGTATTTATGCAGAAAAAAAAATAAAAAAAGGCGCGCGTCCGTCACAATGGCGTCAGTTTGAGTGAACAGTGAACTCTGTATGGCGGAGTTATCAAAATGTTTCTATTACGAGATTACATTATCAGCATGTATCAAATTCGTCGAGTGCTATATTGTTTTGTAATGCGTGATATAAGCTGACATTTTATGTGTTTTTTTTGATTGATTATATTTCAATCGATGTTTAATAAGACATCTTTGCGAGTATATTATCTTGAGTTTAAGTTTATTAGTTATGTTTATTCCAATTGTAATTTCAATAATTCTATAACGTTTTTTTTTTGTCTGCAATTTTTATGACTACCAAATAGCATGTGAACTTTGTACGTGCTCCAATGACGCGTGTTTTATTACGTATTTAATTAGCTAACCTATTTATTACAAAATAAACTTTATGATGTCATTTATGTCTTGATATAGTTATTAACCTCATCTTAATTTTATTTTACTTTATAATATTGCTACTTATAAAGCGAACAAGAAAAATCATTGTTTCGATTTAAACGGTGCATTTTCAGTTTCCTCTGAAGGACAATCTTATTTGCGCGTATTAGGCTCCCCAATTAAAAGTTAGTCTTGAAACTTTAGATTGTACACTTTTAGTTTAAAATGCATGTTACATTTCTCTATTTTTTGTTCTAATCCTAATCATTTGAGCTGTAGTGTTAAGTTCTTACAGAATCCCTACTAATATTATTAATGCGAAAGTAACTCTGTTTGTCTGTCTGTGCCGCTTCATACGGAAACCACTGAACTGATTTTAATGAAATTTGGTACAGAAATAGAGTTGATCTTGAAAAAGAACAGGATAGTTTTTCTCCCAGACTTTTGAAAGGTTCTCTTGGAAACGCGATATAACCGAACTCCACGCGGGCGAAGCTGCGGGCGGAAAGCTAGTAAACTATAATGACGAAACTAGCGGATTAATATACTGTCTATTCCATCCTAATTGAATTTTAAGGTGAACTTTTAAATAACATGAGCTTTCTTATTTATTTACTATGAGTGAGACATATACACTACTGACCAAAAATTTGTGACCATGTAAATTAAAATAGAAATATTTAATAAAACTCCGAATACGCCAGAAGACATTTAATCTACATTAAAAAGGATGTGTAAAGCAAAAAATTGAGATTTGCCGAAACCAATTGGGCAATTTTTTTAAAATATATTCCGTAGGGGCCACTGAAAGAAATAAAACAAAAAAAAATTGCGTGGACAGTTGTAAAAAAAAATTGAACTTCAGTAACAGAAAACCTTTCCTATCATTTAAGTTCTCTAGACTTTGCATAAAAGCAATATTTTTTTCGATTATAACTGGTGAAGTTTTATTCCATTCTTGCTAGGCGGCGCCCATATTCGTCTTATAAGCATGGAGAAGAACTGTACAGATAATTATCAAGCTTTTCCCACAAAAGCTCAATAGTGTTGAAACCTGCTATTTGAGGGCGCCACATCACGTAGGTTTACACTTTTATGGGGTTTTTAAACTTATAAATATACCTTACTTATATATAGTAATTCTTAACTATGATTTGAATCATTAATCATTACAGGTCAAAGGGTAAATCAATCCATACTAATATTATAAATGCGAAAGTAACTCTGTCTGTCTGTTACGCTTTCACGCCTAAACCACTGAACTGATTTTAATGAAATTTGGTACAGATATAGAGTTGACCTTGAGAAAAAACATAAGATAGTTTTTATCCCAGACTTTTGAAAAGTTCATTTGGGAACGCGATATAACCGAACTCCAAGCAGGCGAAGCTGCGGGCGGAAAGCTAGTTTCTTATAAATGTTACCTGATAACACATTATTGCTGCTTCATTTTCATGATTACTTCGAATCGTACTTAACAGCCAGTTCCACAAGTTTTTACAGACGATATGTGAACCGTATAGTCAGGTATCATTTTAAATGACACAGAAATATCTTATTTTGTACCAAACACATTCAGATTCATCTTTCAATAGATATTTTAAGCTTTCAGTCACATTGGGTAATTTAACTTATCTTCGGTTCTTTTGGGTTTTGTATGGATAGTATGGGCTAAATAATATCTACCAATCGTCTTTTTACCGTAGTTAATAACAGAGATTAAGACAGAAATTTGTTAACAATTACGTCTTTTTTGTTATGTTGGGCGTCTATTCCGCTTGCTGGTAACAACGATTAAAGAATATTGGTTAGAAATAGTAGCTTTCGGCCCTCCCGATTGCAAACAGTTTTTACGGCATCCACACAGTTTTGTTATACACACAAACTTTCGATAATTTAAGTTGTAAGACAAAAGTGTTACGAATGCCCTACATTTGAAGAAATAAATGAACATCGCCGGGGCGAAATCTTTGTATGGGTTAAATATCATATAACGGAAAACGCTGCTGATTCCGCGGAACGAACACCAAGCCATGTGAACATGAAGATTCCTTACACCAGACAAGCAATATAATGTCATTGTCATCCTAACGTTTGGGCAAACATGTAGGTAATAAGTTTTGACATGTAATTCGTATTTCAATACACATACATATAAGTATGTTTCGAAGTTTCTTGGGACCTCCGGTTGCCACCCTACGTAATTAACAAATGTTCGGGTTTGTCGACATTATACAGGGTGACTGGTGAATTACTATCGATACTTGAGGACGTGATATTTGACGATCATATATGACAAAATAAAAATTAATATAACATAAATATTAATCAACTTCTAAGTAAAGTTAACCAAAAGTTATGTAATTAATTACGCATCGTGTGAACACCCTACAGATTAGGTATACACACATACGCGGCGGCGGCGTAGTGTTGTATCAGCACGCCGCCGCACGCGTCCACACTTGGAACACTTGGAACGTGTCCACACTTTATTTATTTATACGGAAATTTGGTCAAAAATTAAGTGCCTATTTTTTTTACATAATTCGAATGAGAATCATGTACCGAGTATTCTCCTTAAATATTGATAGTAATTCACCAGTCACCCTGTATAAAACATCAGTGTCAGAAAGAGTCACAGTTTCTTTCACGCACTTTTGTCATTTTAAGATATCTTCATCCTTCAAAAAGGTCATATATGTTTGTATAAATCAGTTTAATAAAGTATTAAAATAAAAAATAACTGAGACTGAATTTCTTTACTTGGCAGAGAGACCAAAATTATATGTATTATGAGATCTAAAACTTTTGCAAGTATTCATTAACTTGAAATTAATATTTTTCGGATGATACTATGAATATTTTATTATTTTAAAAAACTACATACTCCTCATGTTTTGGTCATTTTATAATTCACACCTTATCTACCTGTGATCATGGTAGCTGAAAAGTAACAGAAACATCGGGAGTATGTAGTGTTTTAAAATACTAAAATACACAGAGTATATTCAGAAAAATATTAGTTTCATTTAAAAATAATATTTGTTTTGGAAATGAGGATTTATGAATATTTTATCTTTGGTATCTTTTATCCGTACAAATGAAAAATGAGTGTTTTTGAAATATTACATGAACAGCTAACACTAAACATATACCAGAGCATACATCATCGGATATTAAATTTTTCTAATGTTTGTCTGTCTGTTTGTTCCACCTTATCAATGAAACTGCTCAACTCTTTATAACAGGAATTCAATTGACAGATAATCTCATAAGGAGTAACTTAAACTATAACCAACTTTTACAAGGAGGAAGTTCTTAAATTAACTTTCTTTATCAAACTATTTAAACTCTTTCAATTAAAGATTTGGAAATTACATTCATTTTGTTTTATCATAAGTTTATTGTGTTGTGATGTTTTAATTTTCATATTTTCAGTTATATTGGAGAATATCGAAAAAATTGATAACTACTCCAAAAATGTATATTATAAACTAAAGTCATCTTAAAAATAATAAAATTTATGTGGTGTTACTAAGTTTATTTGATATGTAGTAATCACTTTTTAAAATTTTTACGTAAAGAATAATTAAAACTAAAAATACAATCAAAAATTCTATGGAATTTTTGAAACAGTTACCTTTAAACATAATTATTTAAATAATAAAGAAACCTTTTATAGATATTTAACAGAAATAACTGAAAACTATTTATTCATCATGAAAACACAACCTATATGAATAAAAATTAAAATATCTTATCAAGTTAATTCTTAATCTCTCGATTAATTCCGATTGTTTTGAGAGAATCGGAAACATTTTAACGTTATTTAAAATTTTCAACTAGCACTAAATACTCACATTGAATTCGTTGCTACCAAGTTCTGAACATTACGTGCTCCGACAGTCTATTCCGGCTAAAACTACGTTCGTCACTTATGTACATTTACATTACGTAGATTCCACAATTCAGTCTGAAAGTAAACATTTGATTAACACCAAACAAAACTTCATTTGATAACAATTTCAGAAGAAAACATCGATTAATACATGTACATAAAGTGGTTGAGAAAAGTTTTAAAATGTATGGCAATTGCATTTTTGCTATCTTTTTAATAAAAAACCATATATAAAGGTAATATTTACCATAACTAAGGTAGTAAAAATTAAAACATATTATTACTCATTTTGAAGTTTGTAGTAAATAATGTCAACGTCTCCATATTATCGTTCAGGAATTAAAAAAAATGGGAAAACTATACACTCTTTGATAAACCTAAATTTATTAAGTTATAGTAATATATTTTGCGACTTTTTAATAAAACAAAAATTGAATATATAAATATAGCTATAATTTTTTTGAAATATTATCCATCGACTTAATATTTAATAATGTCCATGTGGTTAAACATAAATTATAAAAACAAAATCAAATTATTATACTTTAATATTGATAAATTCCTTGGTTTCTTCTTAATACGAGCTTAATACTTAAATATTATTTGTATTAACTCCTATTTCTTCTTTGACACAATCTGTCAACTAATATTATTTTTAGTAAGCCACACTGATTATTTTCTGTTTCTGTCTCTTTTGCTCCCGCTCAGTGTTCAAGGTGGTTATTCAGATGATTTTTTAAAATAAAATTATATTATTTAAGCTTAAATCTATTAAATATATTTGATAAAACCTTAATAAGTAAACAAAGGACTGCATTACAACTGTTATTTAATTATAAGGGTAATGATTGCTGTGATATTTTTGGGTGACAAATCCGAGCTCTCCGTGTACAACATTGTTATTACCGTTGAATGTGAAAAATCTTTGAAGCTATTTTATTTAGCGGCTTTTATACGTATTGTAGTGAATAAATAGTGTTGTATTTGGTGCCGAAGTGTATAATTGTAAAGTTTTGTTATAGAGAATATATAACCTATACGAAGTATTGCTTAGCCCAATATGTGATTTTCAGATGAGTACGAAAATCATCAAAGCGAATGCTGTGGACCCGGATACCTTCGAGACTTCGATCTCGCAGGCTCTGGTCGAGTTGGAGACTAACTCAGACTTGAAAGCCCAGCTAAGGGAGCTTTACATTACTAAAGCTAAAGAAATTGAACTACACAACAAAAAGGTATGAAGAACTAACCTAATTAACTATCAAGTGACCTCATTGACGTGAAAATGTTCATAGAATTACATAAAATTACTGGATTACTCTTTTGAATAGTTACAATAGTACATTTCCTTCATACAGTCCATTGTGGTGATATTCTAAAAAATCAATGTGAATTCCAGTCAATCATCATCTACGTGCCGATGCCTAAACTGAAGGCGTTCCAGAAGATCCAAATCAGATTGGTGCGTGAGTTGGAAAAGAAGTTCAGCGGCAAACATGTTGTGTTCATTGGTGACCGCAAAATCCTGCCCAAACCAAGCCACAAGACTCGTGTTGCCCACAAACAGAAGAGGCCTAGATCTAGGTAATATTTAAAATAACAACACTCCTATATAAGAATAGTCAGTGGTGGCCTAGTTGTTAATAGGCCCGCCTCTCGTTGTCGAGGGCGCGGGTTCAAACCTGGCAAGTATCAATGTGATTTTTCGAAGTCATGTGTACTTTCTGAGAGTATTTAGACATCACTGACATACGGTGAAGGAAAACATTGTGAGGAAACATGGACTTATAGTTTCACAATTATAAGTTTGAAATCACCAACCCGTCTGGAGCAAGCATGGTGATTAATGCTCAAACCTTCCCCATGTGAGAAAGAGACCTTTGCTCAGCAGTAGGCTCTGATAGGCTGATGATATGACCATATAAGAATAGTTTATTTGAAAATGAGATACATTACTATAGTTCCTTAATGAGGTAGACAAATTCTCTGGTGGGAAAAATGTTATCTTAATTTCTTTAAATTAAGTTTAAAGTAATTAAAATAATGCAAGATACTTTATAATGACAGTTAAATTTACCCTAACATTTATTCCATGATTTGTTTAGACTGGTTAAACAATTTAATTTTTAAACAATAACCAATTTATATAAACTATTGTTGTGTACTAATTAACACCACCTATCAATTAATGGCATTAATAATACTCTACAGTCATATATTCTATCATCATCATTAATTTTATTTTAAATATTTACTAGTTTCTAAAAAATATTGAAATAATGTTATTTATATCATAATATTATTTCCAGGACTCTAACTTCTGTATATGATGCTATCCTGGAGGACCTGGTGTTCCCAGCGGAGATTGTCGGCAAACGTATCCGAGTGAAGCTTGATGGCTCCCAACTCATCAAAGTGCACCTCGACAAAAATCAGCAGACTACCATTGAACATAAGGTAACATCAGAAAATAATTCATACAGAAATACTTATTTAGTAGTAAAGTACATAAAATTTATTATATATAGTAGAAAGAAATTACATTTATACAAATAATTTTGTACTATTTATCACAAAAGTATATATTTTTCCTCAAAACATTATTATAGTAACTAAAGAAGCCTACCTGCTTTTCTCTTCTTCATTTAATTAATAGATTTTTATATTGAGTATTGATTGGAATTATTATAACAGTTTTAAGGATCTAATACTTAAATTTCACACATAATATTTGCCAAAAATAATAACACATACGAATTTGTAAGAATTTATTACTCATATTTAATTTCTGTAAGGATTTCTATGTAAAAATTATGTGTTGCAAAAAGCTTTAACAAATATGAATACAGTGTAATTTTATATAAATCTCACACATATATATACTCTCTTTAACCTTTCTTTTTGTATATAAATTAATAAAGTTTTTGTTATACTTATTATTATTATTTGTCACCAGGTGGACACCTTCCAATCAGTATACAAGAAGCTGACGGGTCGCGAAGTTACATTCGAATTCCCCGAACCCTACTTGTAAACTTAGATTATGACTTTACAATAAAACTAAAACATTATATACCGTATTTGATTCATTTTATCCTTCATATTTTTATTATAAGAGAAAAATTAATTTAAAAATTTGTGGGACCAAATTTTACATAAAATGGTAGTTACTTTAAAAAAAGAATTCTTTTGATTTTGTATAGTAGCAAATTTTCAGCTCGCTAGGTTTTATTTTATTGAAGACATATACTTCAGCTTGATTTATTGGTTTAATTTTCTTTGATATCTATTAATTTTTTTACTAAACTAGTGATGAGAATTTAGTGTATTATTTTAAGCTAGACGTTTTGTGGTTGAATGACAAAAAGAGTAACTATTTAATTGAAAATAATATTTTCGGATTTACTACGCGATGTTTTATTGTTGACTATAAACTACATACTCCCGACGTTTCGGCTCCTTTACAGCAACCGTGATTACGGACAGACGAGATGCAGACATCCGAAAATATTAGTTTCATTTAAATGAGCACTCGCGAAACTATTAGATCTCATTAAAGTAACTATTCTGTGTTGATGTATAAAATCTTGAAAAATAAATTCATTGCAGAATTAGTTAAAAATGCTTTATTCTGATTCAGTCAAAAGTATTTTCGATGTAACAATATACAAGAAGAGAGCACATTACAGCAAGAAGAAGAATAATCAAGAAGGCAAAAGTAGCAATTCTATTTATTGCTTAGTAATATACATTATTTTTTATTACATATGTAGTATAAATGTGACTAAAATTCATTAAAACATCTAGTATTGGCATCAATGAATGTATAATACATACAAAATGTTCCAATTAAATAATATATTACCCCCTTACCCATATTTACAGCAAATATAATTTTAATCTAACATCAGGAATGTATAGATCTGGCAACACCATGATTCAAATTTTACACTTGGGTTTTTATAAAATTGCAAACTACATATAATGAAACTTAATTATAAAAAATGTACATAAATAATATTATTTTTTAATTCTATAAGGCACTGTATGAGATTTCATGCAGACTACAGTGACGTTTGCTCCTTTGTGACCATAGATAATGCGTTTTTTTATTACTTTGATACACAGATATCAATATTACAACCAATTAATATATTAAGTTTTATTTTGCTATCAATAAAATTTAACTGTCCAAAAACAGAATTTAGCACAGTTCATTAGTTATAATAAATATCATCACGTTTTGTAAATAAAATAATTAGGCCATAGACTTTTGATAAACAAATATATCATTGATTGTTTCTCTTAAGTACAAACAGGTGTATACTGAGAACAAGTTTTGAAGAAAACAAAATCACATATTTACTAAATCCACAATTCAATATGCGATAACAATTATTAATTAGAATATATACACATTAATCTCCATAACCAACACATTACACCCAAATAATAAAATACATACATTACATAAAAGTCAAATATTGCCATATATCTTACAATTCCTGATTATAATATTTTTGTAAGTCTTCCGTGGGTTCAGATTTACTTATTTCACTTGGTTTGATTACTTTTATATATGTGACTGGTACTAGGCCGGCTGTCTGTCTGTCTGTGGATGCCATGAGCCAACCTGAGTTCCAAAGGTGACCTTGTAGGTGTTGGGGAGCCAAGGTAAGGACCTGGTCAGTCGTGAAGCTGATCTCCTGAGGTGAAGTAGCTTGGAAGTCGTGTTGAGCTACAGCGCGGAGAGGATTCTGCCAGCTTGAGGGGTCGTTTACTGGAATGACAGATAAAATAATATTATTAATGGCAAAATTTGTAAAGTGATATGTTTGTCGTTTCTTTAACCCGGCGGGAGGCGCGCCCCATATACCAACACTGACTGTCGCTACTGGGTAAAAAATACCACAATAATATTAATGTAAGAACTAGAGTTATTTTATGGATAATTAAATATAACCAAATTTTATATTATATTGTGTTACATTTTCAATTAAACAAGACAGTTGGAAACTAATAACACTTGGTATAATATGTAATATTTGACATTTTAAAACATAGCCCAAAAGCTCAACCATTTTGTTTATTCGGAATATTATTATTTTGCTCGCCATTACCCCCAAGTAAAAGTATTATGTATTTTACTTTTCATAAATGTATGAAGGCAGGTTTAAGAGTGTAGATTTACACTTAATTTGGGGCAATACAAGAGACACAGCCAACACCTTCAAGTAATCTCACGATTTTCTTTATTAGTCGAACCGTCGAACATCTGTCGAAAGGTATCTAAAACGGCGCTGCACAAAATGACTTACAAAAATAAATATTTTCGAAAGTATGCACTATGTGGTAAATTTTACCCGGTAGCGCCTCCTGCCGAGTTAAGTAGAACATACTGAACGGATCCGGATGAAAATGTATTACAGAATAATATACAGGGTGACTGGTGAATTACTATCAATATTTAAGGAGCATACTCGGTACATGATTCTCATTCGAATTATGTAAAAAAAAATAGGTACTTAATTTTTGACAAAATTTCCGTATAAATAAATAAAGTGTTGACACTTTCCAAGTGTGGACGCGTGCGGCGGCGTGCTGATACAACACTACGCCGCCGCACGCGTATGTGTGTGTATACCTAATCTGTAGGGTGTTCACACGATGCGTAATTAATTACATAACTTTTGGTTAACTTTACTTAGAAGTTTATTAATATTTATGTTATATTAATTTTTATTTTGTCATATATGATCGTCAAATATCACGTTCTCAAGTATCGATAGTAATTCACCAGTCACCCTGTAAAAACTATGTTTTTTTCGGAAAACCATATAGTTCTCTAGAAATCACGACGTTGGAGTTGTATTTTGTGTCACCACGTAACTATAGATGGCGCTGCCGATCAATTATCATATTACTTGTTTAACGTGCTATATATAATTCACGAAGTCAGGGGCAAGACTAGCTAGCTATAAGGCATGAGTGAATAATTCCTGGAACACTGATAGTAATACTTCTTATTTCAATCTTTTGTTTGTCATCACACACATCAGCTAGGATAAATGATCCAATGAATTATCGAGAGGAGAATGAATTATTTTATTTCTCTTAGAAGATATGGTCATCCATCTGTGATTAGACAGCGTCAGACTCCACTTAACCTCATTGGTCGCAAACGCCCCCCGGTTTTATCAATATTAATAATACGATGACGTTATTTATCTTATTTAATGATTGATATGAGATGATAATTTTCATTCTGATAAAATATTTAATCAGCTTACATTTATCTAACAATAACTAAAAACAACATTGTTTAAATGAAGTTCATATTAAAAAACAATCCTACTAATATTATATGTAATTGCTAAAGTTTGTGAGTGTGTGTGTATGTTTGTTACTTCTTCACGCTCAACCGATTTTGATAAAATTTTGTATACAGGAAGCTGACGTCCAGGAATAACACATAGGCTACTTTACATCCCGGAAAATGTTCGACCTGATAATCCGCGGGTAATACCGCGGGGCGCAGCTAGTAATTGTATAAAACACTAACATCTTTCGTGTATACTTGATGAGATGCCGTTGAGCATCTTGAGGACAATGTATGGTGCGGCTGCTATGACACCGAAGAACAGTAGTATCGGCCAACTTGAACCTTTAGCCTTCTGTTCTGGTGTAGCCGTTCCTGACTGGGTGGCTGCCAATGCCTCCGCCCACGCCTGAAATACATCATTTAATATTAAATACTTAAGAATATATATCTACATACTGGCTACTTCAACAAGGAAAAAAATACAATGAATGTGCCAATAAAGAAATATGTAGTAACTTTGTTTTTATAAACAATGTAAAATAAATATAATGAGATCTATGACTTTTGTGAGTATTCATTTAAATGAAACTAATATTTTCATATTACTTACTAAAAATTACATTTTAAATATAGTGTTATTATTATTGTATAGTAGTCTACTTAGTAATATTATTAATATTAGTTTCATTTAAAACAAGTATTTTTTGAGATAAATCCAAAGTAACTGTTTTTAACAGTTTGTGTGTTTTAAATTATAAAAATATAAGTATTTTAAATAGATATAGTAACAATAACATAATTAGGTAATATAAAAACTTAGTGTATACAAAACATATTGATTGATATGAAAAACAAAAAATCATATCATACAATGATAAAGATATATATATGTAGAAATGTTTTTATTAAGTTAATATTTAAGATGTAAAAATGTTGATACAATATCTCTGTTTCAATGACAAAGAGTCATTAAATTTGCTATTAATTTATGTAAATGACGACATAATTATAAAATTATAATGAATACTGCGTAGTACAGAATTAACAATCTAAGATAAAAAAATTTTGCATGTTAAGTTTGGGTTATAATATTTAATTTTCACAAAATTATATGTTTATATTAGCAAATGAAATGAAGTTTTTGAGATAGTAAGTATTTTTTATTATTTTAATTCTGCATAATACTGATGTTTTCATTTTTTTATAGCAACCAACCATTTTATTACAGCATATGACAAGAAGTGTCTGTCAGTCAACTTGTTATTTGTCATCTACTGCCAATTATTTCTTAATTTAATTTAATTAATAATGGTACACTCTAGATGCAAGCAGAATGTGCTCACTGTGTATATGAGACATATGTATATACATACAATACATATTATAAGTATTAATATATGAATGGGTTTTTAACAATCTATCATATAAAAATAAATTACCTTTATGATTATACAACACATTCATCTTAATCATAGATAAATTCTTTAAAAACAAAGTTATCACTTAAAATCTATTTGGTTCTATGTAAGTAATATATCTCAAACCTTCTCCATATGAGAAAAAGGCCTTTGCTGATTATGAAGTTATATATTTCAATGTACCTTGAATTCAGTCTCCGTTCTGATTCCTAACATAACGAGCAGCTTTCTAACAAGCCAGTTCAGACTTCTAACGACAGCAAACGTTGACCAGAACTGGGCAAACAGAGATCTTAGACGGCCAAAATTTTCTGCTACACCTGAAACATTTCCTTATGTAAGTATATGCTAATAAATATAGATATATAAGTTGTGTTCATTGACATTAAAAAATACCTCAAAAACTTAATCAAATATATAGTGATTAACTGTATGTATATAACGAAAATATGAATTTAACTCCAAAAAAGTATTACCAACAATAATTTAAATATTCATTAGCTGTATCTAACACCGACGAAACTTTGACAATTAACAATTGAGGTTGAATTTAACAAACAAACCAACCTTATGCTACAACACCACATATTATGTGGTAATTCAAGTTGAATATAATTAAATTACAAAGAAAATAAATGTTTTGATATTACTTATGCAGGATCTTACCTAGAATTGCTCTGAAAGAGCTTGTTAATGCAAAAAATGTGTTTTCCATCATCATAGCCACACTACCGACAGCATTCACTACGCTTTGTATAGATTCAAATGCTGGTCGGGAGCCTTCTTCAGCTATTTGAATGAATCTATTGATTATAAATACAATTACACATTTATTTGTTATTGGAATATCAAACAAATTAATACAATATATCACAAATTAATTTTATTACTTATAAGTTGATTATTTTAAAATTTATATAAAATAGTGGGTTAAAATTTAAATAATTGTGTGATATTCAATTCAATAAAGTTAATCTATTAAGAATCTAATAACAGAAAACAACTCAATATGATGTTTTAATCATGGTTTAAAATCTATATTATCCTCATATGAATAATGGGTAAATTTATGTAATATACCTGCTTTCAATGTCTCCTCCATACATAGGTCCGTATCTGTTGTATCCACCATAGGGGCTCATACCCATACCCATCCCTCCCATGCCGTAACCACCCATGTTGTATCCTCCATATCCCATACCATACGATCCCATGCCTCCCATACCTCCCATTCCACCATAGGACATCCCTGGATTCATCCCATAGCTTGGTTGAACACCTAGGTCGGGTCGTGGTGGTAAAATTGGTGCTGATAATCCATTGCTAGCATGAGATGTGGATGGCACGGGATTTCGAAACGAAGGTATCTCTGGTGCTAATGGTACAGCCGCATTCGATAAACCGGGGTCAGAGGTTGCGTCAAACTGTTTAGCAGATTCGCTCATTGTTATTACACTTGTAGATTACAAATTTGTAATTCCGAAGTATATTTTCTTATAAAACACTGAACTTCATTTATTTACACAGATTAAACCGTCAATAAGACACAGGAAAATACACCAGGAAAACACTATTGATAACGAAAGTGATTTTTCTACGGACGTCGAAGGCATACGACGTTAATTTATTTACTTACGTTATGCGTCAAAGTAGACTGTGAAAGACTGATAATCAAAACCTGTACTTAAGATATTTTAATAAAATTGCTAGCTATAAAAATAAAATTTCAGATCATTTCAAAATTACTAAAATTATTATCAAATGTAGATCTTTGGGCTAAAATTTATATAGAATATAATATTGATGTGCGCAAATTATTAATATAAAATTATAACAACAAGTTTGACCTAGTTATTTTCACGGTGAGATCGTTTCGTCTTTGGCTATGGGTGTCAATCGTGTCAATAATTTCTATTAGATGTTTGTTGTTATTATCGTATAAATTGAAAGTGTTATCTAAATTTCATATAAGACAAAAGATTTGGAAATTGGAATAGTATATAATAAGGTGAGTTATTGAGGCAATTTAATTTCAATATACAGAGTTTTTTCATTAAAACTTTATTGTTATAAATTGTAAGTGTCATATTTTGGATGAACAAGATTACAGATATTATTTCACATGATATAGTTCAATTTTCATTTTCTTAGTATGATATGCTTCACGATGTAGACCTCAATAACCCTACACCCTATAAAGTTTAAAAACTAGGTTCTCTATTTAGTTTCTTACGACCGGTTTGAGCTACGATGATAGAGAAATTTATTGACTAAAGCATAAACAGATTTTTGTGGCGTTATGTTTCCGTATTCGTGCGATAAATTGTCTAGTTATTTAGAATTTTTGCCATATTTATATTAGGACAATATTTGAATATAAATCCTTCAGCTTATAATTTTAAAGAAACTAAACTTTAAATTAGAAATAGGATTAGGTATTTTAAAATATCATATACAAGTACTGCTTTTTAAATTTCACTTTTTTAATATTATAACACGTATTTTGACTACAGTTATATTTATTTCGTATATACCTGTTTTATGATTTAAATATTTAATATTATTTTGTATTTATTAGACAGTATCTAACACCAAGGCCAAAACAATTGTAATATCAATAACATTCAATTAAATGTTTATGGAGTGACAATAATATTGGTATATAACACTGGAGACTGTTCAAAAACCTTACTTAATTTCTATCTATATGGGCTAGTAAGATCTTTTGAAATTGTTTATTTATATATTATGCATAAGATTTTATGAACAATTGTTCTATTATGTAAGAGACTATTTTGGAATTCTATATCTCTTATTTTTTTTCTGACTTTTAGGTTAATAATAAACATCGTACAACATCAATATTAGTTTTGTCTATCTTAATTACCGAAATAACATGAGCCAAAACAACTTTGTGCCAAATTAGAAATTTTTGTTTCCATTAAGTTTTATAAATATTTAATATAGTTGAATTAAATTTGTTATTTAAATAAGAATAAATAAATTTAATACTAATAATTTTATTTTGTAAGTAAATATCTTATTTACATACTTCTGACATTTAATAATGAAAAAAAAACATGTCAGTCAATCTTAATGATCCAGTTCCATATATCATTCTTTTATTTGTGTAATAAAATATTTATAAATAAAAATTGTGTTGTGAAAATATTCAATACATAAATATATATATTTTTTTATATATAATAGAGTTGGTTACATAATTTCTTTATCACATGATAATTATATATAGTGATGTGATTACACACACTCATATGTATGGTGTTCGGTTTAAGGTATTCATATTTAATCTATAGTATCATATTTCTAAATGATATGCATGTAGGCTGTAAATATGACAACCACTGCAATATTTATATTTAAAAATGCATACTATTTTTAGTTAAACTTCAATTGAATTTCTATTATGTATATGTATAATTATTTATATAAGATCCCCGGGATAATGACTCTATTAGCCTTATGACATATATAAAAATCTTTATGTATATAATTCTTCTGTGAGTGTGTATGTCACTGAACTTCTCTCAAACGTCTGAACCGATTTTGATGAATTTTTTTTGTGTGTGTTCAAGCGGATCTCGGAATGGTTTAGATTCACAATTTTGTCCTCTGGACAATGTTTTTTAATTAATTTTTAATTTATTAGTAGAAGTTGATACAAACGTTTTTTTTTGACATTAGATTTGACAACTAACTAATATGTCAATCATTCTGTCGCACTTCAAAACACGGAGATTTATGGCTTTAATAGGTAAACTCCAAAAATATAAATAAAAACGTAACAGATATTTCTTGATTTTAGGGTGATACGAAGTTCGCCGGGTCTTCTAGTATAATATAATATTAATTTTTTTCTTTCTATGACGTGTCATTAAGTTTCTAAACAGTATCACTTTGAATAGGCTTTGTGTTCCTGTAAACAGGAAGCGGCGCCACCGTCGTGCGATATTTCCGGCGATCTCGGCCTTTTGTTGTCGCCATTTTGTTTAGAATTTTCTACCTACTTTAATGTATTTATATAAACCAGAAATTTTATTCCCTTATGTTATATATATTTTTTTTGTATGGTGGTATATTTTTATCGTTTTATTAAATTATCTTAGTATTTGTATATTTTGACGTAGACGACTGTTAAAGCACTTGTATAGAGTCGTGTTAAATGTAGATATTGATTTTTCCAAGATATAGATCTTAGTAATAAATTTTACAACGTTTTAAACTGAAAGTATTAGGTTAAAGTATAATAATTTTCGAATATACTAAAAATCTCGTTATATTTCATGAAAATAAATGAACTTTATAAATATGATGGACACTATGAAACGTATGCTACGGATTCTTAATTAGCTATATATATATATGTATATATATTTTTTTGTAATCGAAGATTATATTTTTTGGATAATTTTGTTATTACATTATTATTGATAATAATGTTCAACTTTGACGTAAACTTCGTCATAACAAATATTTTACATCATTAAATCTTCGGCTAAATATTTATTAGCTTAATGAATAAATTACCTATAAATTGCTTTCTTTTTTTAAACCACGTTATATTACCTAAGGATAATAATTGTTATATTAAAATTAATAATGTTTATGTATTATTTATACAGACATTCTTTTTTTTTACGTTACATAAAGGGATGGTTAGCAATAATCTTATTGTAGTTATTTTTGTACTGTCAACACAGATTTCAATTTGAATATTTATTCTTCAAGCATTAAAAATTATGAAGTTTTGGTACTGTTTAAAAAATTATAAATTATGTATTTTACCTAAATATTACTAGTGTCGCAAGTAATATAAATGTTTTTTATTTTACAGATTGTGTTCTAACGAAATCCAGGTTTCTTCGACTGGTGAGTAGATAACGAACTTTTTTATAATTTTTAGATAATTAAATTCAAAGATAATAATTAAACCGAAAAAACTTATATATTATGATAAAAATTAAATGTACTCCTTACAAATATATATATATGTATGTGTTCTTTCTATACTATATTCTTGTGTAGTACTTTTAAAATATTATCATTACTCGTTTTCTAACGAAGAAAATGGCAAATGTATATATATTAAGACTGCTATCCTTCTTTTTATGTTCACTCACAAAACCTTCACTTTGAATTAATTATCGAAGGTTTTCTTTTTAAATTTAGTTATTTTCATTCAAAGCTCTATCAATATGTGTGCAATCTACATCACTTAAGAGGTTTCTCTGCAATTAATCATTTATAGATAAATACAGATATATATGTATGTGTGTTTGTAATAAAACTTTATCAAACATATATTATGCATATCAATTATATTTATGTGAACAGATTATCCGTATACAGACGGACAACACCGCGGTTTATGCAAATATTTATCGATCTGTCTCGAATTGGTGTCTTTTGTTCAGTTTATATTCAAATGTGCTAAATATGTCTACGGTTTACCAGATTCTGTTATCGGATGCCAGTTTAAGACAGCAGCACTATGTTATTAGTGCTATGTTTTGTTACATCGCAACTACTTGGTAATGTCAGTTTAATTATAAATATATTTAATATTCTAACAAAATCATAAAATATAGTTGTCTTAAAAAGCAAGTACTTTTAAATAACATATCAAATCTTAACTAGAACGAACTAATTATTATCTTAAACCAAAAATATACTTCGAGTGCGTTGAGGAATTTAAAGGCTCGATTCAAATTAAATGTGTGTTTCCTAAATCTTCTTCTTCGACCTGGCAATTTCCCAGCTTTAGCCAGGGTCTGCCTTACATGTTGTGAATAGTTTTGGCTATTTGTTTTGTACTTCCACCTGCCTGATATCAACGATCTTTGGGAATGCATTAATCAGTGATGTCTAAATACTCTTAGAACTTTCTAAGTACATATGACTCGGAAAAATCACATTGGTATTTGCCAGGATCGAACCCGTGCCCTCATGTATGAGAGGCGGGCCTTTTAACCACTAGGCTACCACTGACTTCTCTAAATATATATTTATATCTATATTATAATATGTTGTATATCTTATGCTAACTGTCATCGAAATTTGTTACGGAGTTTTCGTGATAAAGCTATATTATGTACATACCTTTATATGAAAATAATGTTTACGATACATAAATTTATATTTAAGACCGTTTTAAGTATTAGGTTCTGATTTAAAGTGTGTAATTATACGTGTGAAGCTACAATGAATGCTTTGATAATAAACTGAGCAGTAATTATTAATGTTACAGTGAGCCGTCGTGAAATCAAAGATTACGTACATCTGATGTTAACCACCATATAAATTCCATTTTCTGTTTTAACCACCGGTTTTTTTGACGCACAGAATACAAATAGTTTATAGTATTCATTAATTTTATCGAATGTATATGTATGTTAAATTAAAAACTGTGTCTTTTAAGTTTGCG